TGATACTGAAAACCAAAATGTATGGCTATTCTAATCTAACATCTTGCTGGTTAGTGAATAAGAAAAGGTTACATACTTTAAACAAGCCATCATACAAGTGAAGTCCAATCAACCTACAATCAGGATCAATAATGCCAATCTGCAGAAAGAGACTGGGTTAACCCGAAATGCGCTGAAATTGAACAATTTCATCTGGTCCTATACTAGATAAAGCATTGCTGCTGTTTAAAATATCAAAGTTGAACAAATCCAATCACAACCCACATTTATTAGTAGACACAGGTCAAAAATTTAAATACCTGACCATTATCTGTGGGACGTCCTATACGATCAGAAACATCCCCCATTGCCCTGAATGACATTGACACAAATAATTCAACAAATATACAATATTGCTCTTATAGGATTATCAGTTTATAATGTAGAGACATTGGAAAGCTTAGTTGTTTATTATGGCTTGCTATTTCATTTGCTTCCCTTTTTAGAAGGATTCCTTACCTTCAACCATATGTACTAATTCTTCTTCTAACAATTGATGTGACCTCTGATCAAAAAGATACATCTCAATTCTAGTTTGTCTCTTCAACAAGTTTAGTAATGAGCATAACATCTCGTTGTTCAGATAGAAAGAGAAACCTATGATTAACTTATACAGAAATTTCTAAACATGAAATCATTCAATTTCTTATTTTACCACATTTAACTCTACACACACACATGCATACACAAAAAAGTCTAACCATAAAAGGTACAACAAACCTTTTTTGAGGTGGGCATCCCATTCTTAATGAGTTACAATTCACAACCTAATTCAATATCCAAAGTTCTCCCCGGGTTCCAAATGTCCCAAACACAACCTATACAGATAATGGAGGCCATCTCAGAAACTATTTCAATCTTCATTATTCACTATAATCCCAGTTTGTACACTTAAGCCACTGAACTCAAAATGACAAAACCATCAACCTTGTACGCAAGGCTTACTCTAGGGAGGTTATATTTATGCAACTTACACAACAATTAGAAGTTTCCAGTTTAAAATAATCCTGGTTATGCCTTCCTATCTTCTAAGGGATACTAATTTTCTTGAATCCATTCTCAAAAACTAGCTCATAGAAGAGGATAGTTCAAATTTATAAAGAATATTCTAACCAATGTAAGATATCTTAATACATCTCTCTCACACCTAGGATTGGGCATTATTCAATGCATGAAATTCACTTTGTAGGTGCTCCAACATTCATTCAAACTAGATAAGTTTTAATATCATATTAGTAAAGTGGACCTAATTCACTCCTAATAGCTAGCTCAAAAAAGGAAGATTACCCAATTTATATTTTCTAAGAATATTCTGACCATAATCCTAACCAATATAAAACATCTTAGCACACCCACCCCATACACTCAGGATTAGATATTTGGTGCTTGAAATTTGTAGGACTAGACATCTGTGAGCGAGCAAACATTCAAACTGAATAGACTTTGATATCATATTAGAAATTGAATTTAATTTAGTTCCAAAAGTTAGCTTAAAAGAGAAAGGTTGTCCAAGTCTTATAAGGATTATCATAACCATGTTGTAGTCCTAACAAAGGGGGGATACATAATCTATCAAACTGAATTTTCTGGTCATACAGAAGAAAAATGCTGCTTTTAAGCAAAGCAACTCATAGTCACAAATCAAGAAATTATTTTCTTCTCATTCCCTTATCCAACGATGACAACTGAAATAGGATACAAAAGTTCCCAAACATGAGTTAGTACATTCGAAAAGAAAGTGTTGCTTTCTCAAACCTACCGTGTAACAAGCTCAGAAGTCTCGGGGTCCCATTGAAGAACACAGAACTTGTATCTTTCAGTTGCAATAAACAGATAATCCTGCGCCTCACCCTGTTGAGTCGAAAACAAACAAATTGAAGGATGAGTCTATGCAATAATTAAAACGACTTAAACAGCAACTGAAAATATGGATGCATTTAGCTTTCTCACATGAGGGCGGAAGAGTTCAAGCGTTGCAATTCTTCCATATATGGGCACGTCCAACATAGGCTGCAGAAAGAAATTAAAATTTATCTGATTCTATAAAGCATTCATCCAATAAGAAGTTGAAAGAGAACACATCGGATTAAACTCTAAAAAAAATAACAAGATGAAAGCGTAGTGAGAGAAGAGGGGGAGACCTGCAAGCCCTGAGGAGAAAGCAAATGAATCTCGATGCGGGTGCATTTGCTGGAAGAGAATTGAAGTAAAAGTGAATAAAATAGAAAGAAAAGGAATGGTTATGGGAACCCTAAGAAAAGAAAAAGAAAACGAACGCAATAATGAGATTGAGGTCTTGAGGACTGGTGAAATTGCCAACGCAGGAGTGGGTGACGTTGGTGGGTTTGTGAGCTGTGACCACATAGTTCCATATACTCATCCTTCTCTTCTCTTCTCTTCTTCTTCACTCACTCACTCACTCACTCACTCTACTCTCTATACGATTACAAATTCAAAGAGCCAAAAGGGTTTGGTTTATTCTCACTTGTTTCTCTCTCTCTCTCTCTCTCTCTCTCTCTCTCTCGTTCCCTTGTTAAGCGGCTCGGTGCTTTGCGCTTTCGCTCTTGCCCTCGTCGGTCATGTCCCAGGGAAAGCAAAGGTTATTTTCTTCCCTTTTTTTCCTTTTCCCTTTTCGTTTCCTCTCACCACCAAATTTTCGCACCAAAATTTTGTGTTTACTTTCTAACATCAAATTTTAAAATAATAATGATACTAAGTTTTTCCTATATTATATTAATTTTAAATTGTATAATGTTTAAAATTAAATAAAAACTTAAGTATTTTAATTTGAACAGTGAAATGAAATTGAAAAAAAAGTTAAAAAAATTAAAACTTAAAAAATTAGTATCAGGCAATCACTAGCCAGCTTAGCCTTTATAACATAAATGTAAATATTATTTTCATTGAGGGTAAATAGTTATAAAAATTTTTTCATTTTGGTTCTAAGGGTAAAGAGTTAATATTATTTTCATTAAGGCCGCAGAAACATGGGCTCTTTAGGATTTGGACCCTCCCATTGCCCCCAAGTTCCCTTTTGAACTTTTTGCTATCCATAAGACCAATATTCACAAAAATAAAATGTAATTTAGCTCACTTTTAAAGCGAGTTAATGAAAATATCAACTATTCATTCAGTAGGTTGATTTATTATATTAAAAAATAGTATCTTAATTAGAATCAACTTAAATGAAGGATTAATTTATTTAAAAAGCTTGATAAAATTTAATTTTATTAAATTTATTCTAAAACAGTAAATATAATTAGGATACATTTCAATCATTAATTTAGAGTGAAACGTGTATTTGTTATTAAAAATGTGATAATTGACCTTTTAATACTAAAATGAACAAGTATGTATTTAATAAAAGATTTTTAAAAATATTAGTAAATATTTAAAAAATTATTTAAAAAATAAGAGTATACAAATAATTATAGAAAAACTTGTGAAACTATTCCTATATCCTGTTTGTTTATTTAAAGTTAAAATGCGCTATTGATGCTTGATAAGTTTTATAAACTAAGTCAAATTGATTCGTACCAAGTTCCAAACATATTTGATTTGATTTCGACACATAAACGAAATTGGTTATTCAATCGAGTTCCAATCTAAATTTTATAACTATTGGTGAAAAAACACTCAAAAAGGGGAGCATATTTTTAAATTTAAATACATGTTTATGTGAAATGGGATTGAATTATAAAATCACTAAAACTAGAAAACTACAGTGAACAGGTAAAATTTACAGTACTTTTTACAATTTTACAATTAAGAGAGTTTAATATTCTTGTTTACACATGAAATAATTCTTATTGTTAATTTTAAATTAATAGATAATAGAGTTAGTAGTTTAGTTTAAAAAAATATTAATACTCTTCTATTTTTAAAATATAACAAAAGTCTCTAAAAAAATATAGAATACTCTCTCAAGTTTACAGTACTACAGCAAGCACCAAAATTAAAATTTTTTAGTAAACTTTTATAACATGATCGCAACATCTTAATATCTTTTTATTTTTTTCTAGTGTTATCATAATTAATTGGGATTCTTTCTCTCCCCATTTGTAGGAAAATTTGTCATTTATAATATTTTTGAGTTTTTGCAAAGATTAACGAAGGCCTATAAAAACCATGAATCACTTTTTTTAAGATTTTTCCCCCGAAGATATAAATGTCATCATGAAAGGTGTAAGAAATTAATTTAACTCGTTTGTGACTAGTCATGTACAGAGGAACCGGTGACTTTTAGCATACATGCACGGTTTGAGGGTTGGATCTAATAATCATCACTGTTGAAAGCTTCATCTAATCAACATCTTTTAACCCAGGAGTTAGTCCAATAGCCCATGTCTATGAAAACAATGTCCAAAACCAAAAATTATTGTTCCTCTTGTTTATCCCTTTAAATAAAAAATTGTAATTTCAAAAAGCAACACTATTTTATAATAATTTCAATTTTTTCAGTAAATAATACAACAATTTAAATATCATATAATGAGTTTTTTTTATATAAATTTTATATTCATAAATTTCACATGAAAACAGTTTTCACACTTTTAATTTATTGAAAATGAATAGACTAAATATATTTTCAATATTTTTATTTTTATAAAGCAAGACCCAAAAACAAACATCTTTAAAATCTTTAAATATATTAAAAGAATAGAAAATAAAAAAAAGTATACCACATATAAATATTGCCCAATGCCAATAACAACAAAGAAACAGGGTCATTAAAGCAGTAACAAGAGAGAAAGAATATTGAGAAGCAAGGGAAACGAAAGATTACAAATTAAACTGCAAAAAGAGATTATTTGCACAATTAGAGATTCTTGTCCTGGCCCAACATGAAAGCTAAGAATACCTTAGCAACAAAAACACAATTACAAAATGCTAACAAAGGTACATTCCCTAACCTTCCTCTGATTCTCTTTTCCTTTTGTCCACAACTTGCCCGACCATACTCACATCCAAAAGTATGAAAGCAGTAGCAGGGTAGCAAGTTTCGACCAGATCAAGCTTTGGTTATGCTTCCTCAATGAAGGTGGAGCAGAAGAACCTTCAGATCTGTCACATAAAAAATAATGTTATAATTGTGATTAAGTAAAATAAGAATACACAAGTTTCTTTCAATTTAGACAAACTAGTTATATGCCATGGTATCACACATACCCAGGTGAAGAATAGAGACATTTTCCATAACCTGAAGAGAAAAGAAACACACAAGTTTAGTATGAATTCTATTATTTCAAAGGGTCCTGTTAACCAATGAATTCCTTTAAGACATTAGTTAAAGAATTAATAATATTTGTTTTTTAATTGAAAATTACCCTCTCCAATACTTTTGATTCTGTAATTTTTGGTTAACATTTGCTTATTTCAAAATTCTTTTTTCGAAAGACTAAGATTACAATTCCACCTAGCTGGAATAAAAATTAGGGGAAGAAAATAGGCTGTCCACTACCCTGCACTTAATTTTCAGAAAGCATCCAATAAATAATGCGTGAAATGCACTCTACGACATTAGGAATATAATCCAAAGAATGTACCTAATTGATAATACCTTTCATATATACCAACACCAAACAATTGTTAATTCAAAAGTAAACCCTCTGATATTTTCTAAAAGAATATCACACTACAGCACCTCATATTACAAGCCAGTCAATTAATTTAAACTCAACAAAACTAATTCGAATAATGCAAAATGCCGAAAAGAAAGCACGCAAACAAAAGCAAATTAATGAAATTTATTGCTTAAGCACAAGTCTTTTCACCCCACCCTTCTCGAACAAAAAAGAATGGAAGATAAATGCCGAAAGTTCCAGATATCTTTTTACACAATGACCTACATTCGTCAACTAGCAAGAAATTCAGTACAACACAACTATTAATCATTGCACATTGCTTAAGCATCACTATGTTACTAAAAAGGGAAAGAATGCTACGTGTTACATAGATATCAATATCAAAAGCAAAAACGGGAGCGATGAAATTTCATAGACCCATGTGGCAAACTTTTTGTTGTGATCTTCACATAATGCATCCACATATTTTATAGTGGAGCTAAGGAATCTTTAGTAGTAATCTTTATATAAACTTCATGCAGTACAAAACATATTTGAATAACAATTTATATTTAACTTACTGGGATTACGTTTGGTCAAAGTAGCAGTTCCTCCAAAATTGCATGCAATATCAGAATTCCCATTTGTCTGATAATAGCTGTTGAAAGCAAAAGATGCATGAGATACAAGTGTGTCTGGTTCAAAACATGGTCCACCTTGTTGAATGGCTGTGCAATCTGCTGTTCCAAGTCCACAAGCCCAATCAAGAGCATTCTGCAAGTCAGCTTGAGAAACACCAGCAAGAGCTACACACCATGTTGTGCCATCAATGAATGTAGTGTTGCCTTCTGGTGGTGACAATGTTGTCACTGGAATTGCTGCATCTGATTTCTCTTGCACCACAATACCCCGTGCCATAGCTAAGTAATTTTTGCCAAAGACATATAGATGCAGGAAAAACAAAATTACTTAATATTAAATTTATAAGGATCTAGATAAAGAATCAATAAAGAAAATATTGTATTATAAAATATTAGGTTTTAGGTGCATTAGAAATCATAGTGAGAATGCATCACTAATGCTTTTTTAATATCATTCAAAAGTTTTATATTTTATGAAAACCTTGGGAGAGCGTCAATTAACTGTGATTCCACGATTGGGTAGAGTAGAATAAATTTTTGCACAGGGAAATTTAAACAATTTGGATGGGAAAGGACTGGCTTTCTTGCTTCTTGTTAACATCAATGTTTCCACTGTTTAATGAGTCAGAAAAGAGAAAATAATACATCTGATATGAACATTAAACACGACTTGTGTTTGTGCTACCTATGGTCCACCAATAAACAACACATGAAAAAGAACAAATGAATAAAAAAGCAAGTGGTATTGATCTTATCACTTTATATAGCCTGAGATATATAAAATGTAGATCATTTGGGGATTGTGGCAATGGCATGGAGGAAGTAAAGAATTTGAACCTCTCTTTTCCTTTTATGTCCCCTTTCAAACTTAAAAGTTGCCACAACTTGGTTGTGAAAAAAAAAAAAAAAACGGGGGGTTTAGAGCTAGAGGGTTTAAAGCGAAAATTAGAAACAAGGTTACAAGTAATACCTCAAGTGAGACACAGAAAACATTTCATCACAATAGGCATCAACGTGACTAAACAAAGGATTGAAATTTAAAAGAACCATATTTTCCCTTTGCCTGTTTACAAGACAACAAGGTGAAAAAGGAAGATTGAGTAGATTTAGAAGATTGTTATTTACTTCTCTCTCACTTGATAAGAAGAGTATAAGGAAGAACATTATGCATACTTCCTCTGGTTTGTGTAAGAGTGAAAGCCTATTCCTCTTTTGAGCTAAATATTGAAAATCAACATAAGTCACAGAATTTTTGCCTGCCCAGCAAACAAAAACTCATGATCCCCCGGCCAAGGAAAAAACACAAAATTTAATACTTAAATGACAAAAATAAAACAAAAAGAAAGAAAGAATGGAAGCAGAAGATTTAATGATCAGTTAGCAAGAGGCAGAAAATACTAAGATCTGTTGAAGTGAATAAGTTTAAAGAAAATGTGAACCTGAAAGTAACACATTGTACAGCAACAAACTCAAGAACTAGTCTAAAATGAAAAACAACTAAGAAAACCAAAGAAGAAAGAGTAAATAACAAGAAAAACAGCAAACGGAGACATAGCTTCCCATGAAGAGATAGGAGAAAAGGGCATACCCAGATAGCATTCCATAAAAACTAGGCACAGAAAAAACCACATTTTGTTTCTCATGGTTTGAGCTTGAAACAACCAACCCACTTGCTCCGAAGGTTATATGTATAACTTGATATTGCCACTTAGCACTAAGCACACTAATAACTGTGAATGAAGCTGAGGTATGTCAATGGAATCAGTAGTTACTTGAAGGAAGTTTTTATTTAATTTTTTTCTTTTTCGCTTTTTGTGAATTTAAAAATATTTAATAGAGAAGAACAATGCATTCTTCTGAAGGAAGTACTATCTTTGGCAGACTGCAGCAGTGGATTCATTTGAGCCTTTTCACGCTCACGCAGCTACAAAAGGCGGTAGTCTCTACCATGTAAAAGAAAGCTTCTTCCTCATCTTATTACTATTACTAGCAAAATGTTAATCAAACTATATGTTAAAAAAATATATAATATTTTATTAAACAAAAATAAAACTACACTTATTTTCTTTTCTTTGTTCCAACTTGATACTACTTATTAAGCTCAAACAATTCCTGTAAATTAATTTCAGGTTAAGAAACAATCTCTATAAAGTAATTTATCTAGTCAGTGGTTTATTTTTGCGTATACCAGTTAGTTTTGGCTTAGATTAAAATATACTTTTTCAAAAAATTTAAATATATTTTTATAAACTTTTAAAAATTCAAATTTTTTTAAAAATTAGATGCTTTTAATATTAATTAGTATTAGTTTATTATATCAATTAAAAAATAAATATATATTTTAAATTATTGAAATTTTGAAACATCAATTAACCTCCGTGTTTATTTTTATTAAATAAAACTGTTTTTAAGAGTTATTTTATATGAGAGTCTTTTCAGGATTATTTTTTCCTCGCAGCATCATGTAAATTTTTCTACATTCAACATTTATTTGTTTTAAGATTTTATCTTAATTTAATTTTTAAAATATTGCAAATTTTTTTAAAAAGAATTTATTTGTATTTAATATAATTTCTGTTTTAAAACTTACAATTAAATTTAAAATGATCTTATAATATATTTTCTATTTAAATATCGTTGTTTCATTATAATATAATTTATATGAGAAATTCAGTAGTTGAGATTGAATTTTAAGAAATAAATATTAAATTTAAGAAAAGACACGCAAAGATGGGTTGCAAATAAAAAAAAATTGAAGAAAAAGTTGTATAAATGGACGAGAACAGAAATACAGAATATGAAAGCCTGTAATTAATATAAATTACTTCCATTTCTTATTCAATATTCATTTGATCATAACGCTGAAAGTAAAACTAATTAAATCAAATTAATTATGCATAATCAACGGGAAATTAATTTAAAATAATACGGTGAGTATAAAAAATAATTTAATTACATATTTATGGTTTTATTTAAATAAAATATTGAATCTTACGAATAAAACAAATTGTGAATCTTAAAAGTTTAAACAATATTTTCTTTTCGTGAATGTGCATGTGATCATATTACCAAAAATTAATTACACTAAGATGAGCTGTTACCATACGGACTGGGCCGAAAGTTGCACAAAAATCGAAAGCCTCCAATGTCATATGCGAGACTCCAGCCCAAGAGAGGCCCATCTGATAAGAGAAGTTACTTTCCCATTCATTTCAAAGCCCAATGTGTAACGGGGACACAAAATGTCAACTCACCCGTTCTCATTGTTGACCAAAAATCAAAACACCGTTCTCGTTTTAACTTTTGGCATGTTCTTTCACTAAAAATGCATTAGCTCTTTTTTGGCAGTGTAGCATGTAATTACTGGGTTGGTATTTTATCCAAACATTATTGTATGTGTTTGATATTTCAGTTTTCTCTGCACCATTATTGTATTCTTATCATTAATTAAAAGAAAAAAAATCTTAAAAATCCATTTATGATCTCATATTGTTAATTCACAACCCTATTTATAAACTTTTATTCACATATCATCTTTATAGTGTGTGGTTGGAACATTAAAAAATTTTAAAATATAAATGTAATAAAAAATTATAATTAATAGCGCTAAAAGTAAACATTAATTTACAATATTTAAATATAAATTCAAACATCCTTATACTTTTACTCTGTATGTGTGTGATCATATTTACATCACATTTTTTAATCAACACATGTTAGTTTAAGTAAAACAAAATTGAGCTGCTTAAGTATACAAGTTTGGATTCAATTATGACAGTTATGTGTCTGAAAAAAAAAAAACTAATAAAGAAGAGTCCTTACCTTTAAATTTTGACTCAATTTATACAAAGTAATAAATCAAATATGTAGTATAATGCAAATGTAAAAGAATATACATTCATTCCAATTTTATGAAATAAAGTACGTTGCTACGTATGAAAGGGGTATTTAGCAGAAGTTAATAAATTTATTAAAATAAAATATTTTTATAATCATATTTATGATGTGAAATTTTTGTTATAAGTTAAAATTTATTAAATTTATGTTATTATTCAAACGCACCTCAAATAAGTTAAAATATATCTATCTTAATGCAATTAATTGCATCAAATTTCATAAATATTGAAAACAAGCTAAACGAGTTTCGAAGGTCTACAAAGTACACAAAAATAGCAGCAGTAAACAAAGGAGGTGTATTAACAATAGATACGGCATCTAATTGACTAACATCTTCTCCAAAATCTATGTTATAAAGACAGTTAAAGCCATTAAAACCGGTTGACTATATCGATCTGACCCAAGTTTAAAATTCTTCGATCGTTGCCGAAATTGTGACGTAGTATCACCTTACTAATCACATGATTAAATTTGGATTCTTCAAGTTTATTATCGTATATCATATGGTGAGACAAACTCTGTGGTTAGATGAACAACCACTGATAAACCAACTTTTATATTATAAAACCAAAAAAGGCATAGAAACAATGTAGAACAATTTGGGAACATACGGCGTGGACATCATATTATTATGGTACCGAGGGAGAGGAAACTGAGATTCCACATCCATTTTTCTATACCCGAGTTGTTTTTTATGCAGTCATTACGTTTATTGTTTGTTTCTAGATTTCGCAAATGTGCATACATAAAACTATAATCTAATTAAACAGTCTTATTGATAGTAATATATCACAGACAAGATAATACGTAAAGAACATGAAAGATGCTAGTTTTTTTTTTAATTATCTTAAGTTGGTGGCATGATGTCATTGGTCTTTAACTAATCTTAGTTTAATTCTACATCAAGGATGAGTTGCTGTCTAATGTGACACATTTTGTCCGATTGTCTGCCTATCAATAGAGCGGGAATATTGGTGGGTGTTTTCTTTCTCCCACAGACGTTGCTTCCTCCACTGTCCTTTGATTCTTGCACACAATTATATTTACAAAACCCTATTTGCTTATAATCACAATATTATTCTCCAAATTTTATATCTTTTCCCTTTACTCTTTTTCACTTTTTTAGTTTCTTTTGTTATCTTCTTTTATGAAAGAACAAATTGTATTCTTTATCAAGGAGGATACCAAATGAACCTTTGAAGATTAAAATGTGTTGGGTGCATCATCACAAATGTGTTACAGGAATCATATATAATAAGTGAAGTGATTATATCAAGTATACGTATTGTACGTATATAAATACATTATTTTTAATCAAATTGTCATGGAAATTTTCAGTATGCAAGACAAGTGGCCCCTTCACTTGTTCTTCATTTCATGCTAGCGATAGTCTCTTACGTACTCATTTGATAAATACTGAGAGGTTTTCATTTAATGAATCGGTATATTTAAATTTTAATATGAAAGGAATTTGTGCAAGATTTGTTTTTGTAGTAAGAAATTAATAATAATTGAGCATTAGAGTTGTGGTGTGTATGAATGTTCATATTAGGAAATTGTTTGAGGTATGTGTGAGAACGGATGTGAAATTAAAGAGACATACAAAATGTGGAAATAATATGAGATAGTTATAAGATAGAAGAGATTAAGAAATATTATATATATATAAGAACCAATTCATGTATACGTGACTGTGTGTAATGCTTATTATTTAATTATTGATATTTTAACAAGCGCGTTTAAAAGGAAATGCAAATGGTATTCTCCAATAGCAATATTACTCGTTTATGGGTTGAGGTTAATATTTTTAGTTCTTCTAAAATCATATTTATACTTAAAGATAGAAAATGAAAAGAAAAATAGTGAATAAATGTTTACATTATTCGAATGTCTAAAATTATAGTCTAAAAAAAGGCTATTGCCTGAAGAGTAGTGTTAAAATCAGATAATTGACGAATATGGTAAAGAGTATAAGACAATTAGTGAGTTTAAATTTGGTCCACAAATGTGTCTTTAGTGAGATGAGTGAGAATTTGGAGGCATTCACCATAATTGTGATTAGTTGATGGGTTTAGAATACAACACAATCCGATTTGTTATATTTTGTTTTGCTAAATCAGATTTATGGGTAGATATCATCCTATCTATCAGATTATCATCTTGTCGGCATTAGAGCATTGGTTTGTGTCATGGGTCAATTAATAATTGCTTCCTCTTATACTCTGTTTGGCAGTCCCATACATGTTTTCCTTTAAAAGCATTTATGACACATTCTTTTTTTGCTTCAAATCATTTTTTTAGTAAAGCTTTTTTTTTCGCAAGTTACGAGATTTTTATATTGGGATTGAGGTTTAATTTGAAAGTAAAAAGGGGGATAGGGATCGAATTTGACTATACTGAAAATAAGCTCATTAAATAGATAGTTTGATTAAAAGTGACCTATTACAAATGAGTTTATTCTAGATGGTTCTATCTAAACTTAATGTAAATATATACTTTATAAGTATGACTCACTTGAAAATAATACATGTTAATATATATTATTAATACATAAAATATTAGTATATACCTTCAATTTTATACTAACTATTCAACTTTTGTTAAAAATGTTATATTAAGAATATTATTTCAACGTTTAACAAAGTTTATTTGTTAATAAATAATACTTTTACAGCATCGAACAAAGGAAGATGATTAATCAAGAGGACATAGATTTTTAACTTCTTTATGAAATTAAATCTAGTATCTAATATTTTCCTTGGTTTTATTTTTTAATCAAATAATCATATTTTAATGCAAATATAATCGTCTCGAACAACATTTCAGCAAAAAATATAAAAATATTTTACACTAAAGAAAAGCTCATATCCTCTTTGTTTATCTTTTATGAACAAAGATAAACAAAAGTTGGAATTAAATCAATGTGCATGGAAGGGTGTTTGGTACGTGAGTGTATGAAAGTTTGGTTCATTGCGTTAGTATAGTGGTTCAAAATTTGTCATTGACCTGAAAAACAAACAAAACTTAATAAATGTGTGCATTTGGGTTTCCCTTTTGGGGAAAACGTTGGCCCCTCAATTCCACTTGATACACTTTTTGTTGTTCTTTCCCAATTCCCCTCCAAACAATGATGGGTCCCTTTGAACAATTTATTCTCAATCTACTTCATCAATAGTGAGGATGTGAGCATCAAATAATACAAATATCATTTACCCTTTTTAGGCTATTGTTCCTTTGGGTCCCTTTTATTACCCATCAACTTTTCCATCCCCTATCTGTTCTGCACTTAAATGTGTTTTGTAATCAGAAATATTTTATACCCAAAACAATCTTATTTCAGCTAAAAATATTAAATATTGAACACTTTTCATATTGGTTTTTTTAAGGCTGTATTTAAGTTATTTGAATTTAAAAAGAAAAAAAAATTGTGAAATAGCTATAAAATTCAACCTGCCCACGCCGACCTACTGCCTGCCTACTGTTACTTCATTACGTTTCTTATTATTACAATCTTAATAAATGATTGTTGTCAACATCAATATTACAATGTTTTTTATATAAAAAATAGTATTTTTATTTTTAATACATCTAATTTTTTTATATTAATCAGAATGAGTCAGTGAAAATTATGAATATTTAAACAAATATTAACTGAGCAGACATTAATTATTACGAGTGAAATTATAAAAACAAAAATATTTATTATATTTTTAAAGTAATAAAATTAAGTTAATTAAAAAAAATTATAAATGAAGGGGCGAAGTAACTCCAAATGAATAAATAAAGCATGGTGGGTGACGCTGAGCATTAATTGGCATTATCAGTATCACTGCTCCCTCTCTCTGGACCCAGTACGCTCACCCAGGTACTGCCTTTGCATGTTCATCTGTTGAAGAAAATGAAATATGGTTTTTACTTTTTTTAATACATCACTTTCATGTCACATCAAATGATAGTGTGGTTCGTTGCTCATGCTTCAACCAATATAGTTTCTATTTTTTAAAGATTATTCTTTTTTTTTTAAATCTCACGAACAATTTCTCAGAATTTGATATTTTTAATTATGTAAATAATAGCTTAATATGTGATTGAGGCGAAAAAAATTAAACAATAACACTCTGATCTCATTGAACTCAGGTAGCCCTTCAGATAATGAGAATAGTTTACATTTCAATATCAAATCTCAGAATTTTTTTATTTTAATTACTTATGATTTATGAAATAAATCTAATTTTTATATAGTCTTAATAATTGAAAGGAAATAGCATAAATAAAAATGAAGGTGTTTGTTCATGTGTTGAATTGAATCACGTTCAGCGTACGCTTTTTGAACGTATGAATCATGAAGAATACAAGACGTTGAATGACCTTCTTAAGGTTGCAGAAGGGTACAATCCAACTTATTTAAAGATGTTTTAGAGAAAACAACATCGTTATGGTTCATTTGTCCATGTAACTTGTATATGTTGTAGTCGTAAAATCAATTAAAATAGTTCTAATAAAAATTATGAATGAAAGATTTAATTAAGAAAATTAGTAATCATTTAAAAGCTATGGAAATAGGGTATGATTAGTGCCGTCTAAAATTCTTTTTTATCACGTTGTTGATGTTGACGCTCGATATTTTAAATGGCAGGGTGCACTCTAATGCGATCGAGATTAACTGATTAAAATTACTGTGTTTTTCACACTGTTATTGACCATCGATATTTTAAAATGCAGTGTGCAGTAAATCAAATGGCATGATTATGAGATAGCGTTTCGTAAGTACAAGTGCTATTCCCCTTCATTATTTTCTCTTCATAATGAGTAGACAGACTTTTTTGGCACAAAGACAAATTTTATGTATCAATGAAAAAATTCAATAATAAATTTCATGTATTGAAATAAGATATTGGGTATCGTAATTTGATCCATGGTCTAAACATATTGTGAGTGGGATGTTTAGCAACAAGTTTGGTTTTGAAAGGGGTGTAACGTAACGTTAGAGTCAGTTTCCGACAGAGGAAATTCTGGCAGAAGAAGATTCCCATGGCATGCAGTAGCTTGAAAAGGGTTACAGTCAGAAATAGGGGCCACTCCCACCATTTGGTCCTACTGCCGTTGACGCTCTTTTGGATTGTTACCAATCTTTCTCCAAACACATCACTTATTCTTTTCATTTATTTTAGAATAAAAACATCACACCATATTATCATTCCCTGTGTCTCTCTTTTCATTATCAGATAAGAAATTGAATTGAATATTTATTATCATATAGAAAATAAATTAATATTTTAAAAATATTATTTTTAAGCAGGATCATAGGATAGGTGGTTTTATTTATGGTCAAAAAATACTAGTACTACTGTATAGTGTTTGGTCAAAAATGGGGTTGACCGTTGCACGGTGAAGGGAAGTTTGGAAGGGGGCTTTTCCGTCATTGCAAGCAAAGACTGTCAAATCCTGCAAACCAAAAAAAGCTTCCCACAAGCTGCACCTGCACCCGCACCTGCACCCGCACACGCTCATTAGTGATTGCTCAGTAATTTGTCAAAGCTTAAGCTATGCTCCAAAGAAACCTCTGCCACGTCACAAACCCAACCCTTCCGCTCCTTAATTCGTCCCCATCCTCAGCCCTACCCCTACTCCTCACGTGCCAAAACCCCCCCTTCTCACGTGCCCCCACCCGTTTTACCTCCGTACGTCTCCACCATAAATACAACACAACCACCTTCCTCTGTTTCTCTCATTCTTACCTTAACACACGTCCTCTCTCCCTCTATCCCTAATTGCTCTGAAACTCAAAAGTACCACCAAAGTGTTTTTTTCTCTGTCAATTTTTTTGTGCTCCCAAAACCCTAACTACAGCAGTTACTTCCAAGTTCCTGCCCCTTCATAAAGCCTGCACTCCTCCGTATATTCAACCTTGTTTCATTCATTCTACGCATTCCAATTTCCGACTCTTTTTTTTTTTTGGCTGTTGTACCATGTTAGAGAGTGGGGGAGGTGAACGTGATTCTGAGGTGAGTTTGGAGACCGTGAATTCCACACTGCGAAGCTCCATGAGCAGTGAGAGCAATTGCAGCACCAGTTTCAGCCGTCTTTCCTTCGATCTCCTCCCCGCCTCACCGGAGAATCTCTCCCTCAAGCCTCATCGCTCCTCCGACTTCGCCTACACGGCCTTCCACCGCAAGAACGCTCTCACCTTCCGCGACTTCCAGCTCCTCCGCCGCATCGGCGCCGGCGACATCGGAACCGTCTATCTCTGCCGCCTCAGAAACGGCAACAACCAATTCGAGAACAGGAACGGAGAAGAAGAAGAAGACCCGTGCTGCTTGTACGCCATGAAGGTGGTGGACAAGGACGTAGTGGCATTGAAGAAAAAAGCGGAAAGAGCCGAAACGGAGAGAAAGATCCTGAAGATGCTGGACCACCCTTTTCTCCCTACGCTCTACGCTGAGTTCGAGGCTTCACATTTCTCTTGCATTGTGATGGAGTTTTGTTCCGGTGGGGACTTGCACTCCCTACGCCACAAGCACCCGCACAACCGTTTTCCTCTCTCTACCGCAAGGTAATTACTAATTTACAAGTTAGAACTAATCAAAACGACAACGTTTTCCTGTTCTCGTTATCTCACTCGCATTCTTCAGATTTTATGCAGCTGAGGTGCTGGTGGCGTTGGAGTACCTTCACATGCTGGGAATCATCTACAGGGATTTAAAGCCTGAAAACGTGTTAGTCAGATCGGACGGTCACATCATGCTTTCTGATTTCGATCTTTCTCTATGCTCACATGCAATCCCAGCTGTTGAATCCTCAGACTGCTTACAAGATCCATCCGCATTATCCTACACTCGCTCGCGTTCTTTTGCAACCCCATTCTCGTGCTTCCCCAACCGCCTCTTCCGGTCTCGCAAGGTCCAAACCCTCCAACCGAACCGGCTCTTCGTGGCCGAACCGGTCTCCGCCCGGTCATGTTCCTTTGTCGGGACCCACGAGTATGTCTCGCCGGAGGTCGCCGCCGGCCAATCCCATGGCAACGCCGTTGACTGGTGGTCGTTTGGGATATTTATCTACGAGCTTATATATGGTCGTACGCCGTATGCGAGCCCATCGAAGGAGGCTACGCTGCGCAACATCGTGAAGAAACCCCTGACGTTTCCCACGGCCACGCCTTCGAGCACTCTAGAACTCCACGCGCGGGACTTGATATCCGGCTTGCTGAACAAGGATCCGGCGCGTCGGCTTGGCTCGCAGCGCGGCGCCGCTGACGTCAAGAAACACCCATTCTTCAAAGGGCTCAACTTGGCGCTGATTCGCATGCTGACGCCGCCCGAAGTGCCGGGCTCGAGAAGGACAAAAACGTCGTCGTTGTACCATGTGAAGGGTGGCTACAACAATAATAGTAGTAGAAGACAGCAATCGACGGCGTCGTTTGATTTTTACTTTTGAAACAGCGACCATGGATGGTTTTTCGCCACGTGTTTAGTGTCGTATTTGTATATTGGAGCGGTCCTTTATTTATTTTTAAAATTTTCTCTTTTTAATATAGAATAATAAATATTTACACTGTTTTTATTAGCTTTATAAATTAAATGTCTACGAAAAACGAGAAGTGAAATAGTTGCAAGTTTAGATTAAAAGGGTGGTAAGTGGGATCATGTTGCCCCTTTTTGGTTGCCCTATGACGGAATCATCATAGATAGGTGCCTTTAAAAAGATGAGCTTGGGTTCCCTCTTCCCTCTTATAGAATGCTTACAGGATGCACCGTGGAAAAATGGCTGGACAATACTATATGCAGAAGATTCGTTGCTTAATTTCTTCTCCTCCTTCCCACTCACACTTGAGCGGTAAAAAAAAAATACTTAGGTATACGAATCCAACGTCAACTATCATTTATCTATTCCTTACGAAGACCTATAGTCAATATTCTGCCTAAATCGAAATTCTTCAGCTTAGCAATATGTATATAATATGAGATATCATTTGATTTTTAATCTAGCTTCTCAAACTGGAAATTTTTTTGAAGCGGCGAACCGTGAGAAAAGGGTTAACTTACAACTCATCATTTGACCCAATTAGAGAGTATATGATTATACTATAGTTCTTAACTTGCTTCTGCCTCGGCATGGGGAACAAAGTAAAAACAGCATAAAGAAACGTGCTAAGAAATATTTAGATAAAGAAATGTGACTTTATCTTTGCATTAATGAATAATAATTTGTTTTCTCACTCGTGGATATTATACCCAATATACATAGGATGTCAGTTGAATCAATATTTCCAGTGCTTAACGCGCGGATATGATGAAAACTTCCTAACTCGTATGAAAGTCATAAACATATGCAGATTGTATTTTAGATGCCATGTTGCTGTTTTTCTTTATTGGCAGTATAGCATCTAACTTGATTGAAAGAATGTTGAGAGCCATAATGTGCGATTCACGTAAAGAATTGTGAAACTTTAATGGGATATGTTTAAACATGTCGCAGGATGCAACGTGTAAATATCAATAATTTATATATGTACACCATCATTTACAACTTGTGCACGATGGGTACCTAAATTTTTATGAGCATGATGGACTCAATTAAGAATCGATCCCCCAGCTCATTAAAATTCTACGTTTTCCGCTTTAAAATGCTACTTTCAGCCTTTACAGATATGTTCATCCTATCAAGAACCGTCATATCAAATCTCATCCATAGAGTTTTAATTCCTTTTCTGTTTGCCCGCGCTTTAGAATGTCCAAAACAGTTTTCTCTCCTTTTACACCAGACAGATAACTTCACCATTATCACTTGCGTTTCTGGGAATCCCTTTCTGTCTGCTTCGAAAGTATTTTATCACTCATTGTAGAAAACCCGTGCTTGAATACCTAGTTGAAAGTTGGTTAAAATAGCTTTTTTCTATTTTTTTTATTTTTGTCTAGAAAGGGGTTCAGATAGTTATATATATCAACGACTTTGTAGCTAGATTAGTATTGGGTGTAATGTTTGATTATACCAAGGAGATGCTATACTATGTGCATGTATATGACTAGTTATATACACCTTCTAACCGGTACTCATTCAACCCCTTCACAAGAAAACTGCGTGTGGAAGATTTATGGGATCAGATCAAATACTAAAGTTTATATTTTTTTGGCTAACCTATTTTGTTAAACTCAGAACTTTCCTTCTTATTATTGAAAAGAAAACATTACATTGAATGGTTGAAATCATGGTCCTTCTAAAATTTAACTGCCTCTTGTTTACCTTGCTCGCATTTGGGGTTGTAAATCGTAACCTGACGTAGATAGGCATTTTTCTTATTCTATTCACAGCTCAAAAGTTGAGGGAGATACGCATTCATGTTGCTTAAAGGAATAGTTAAAATAATCTGACACGACGCCTTGAGAGAGTTTTGCTTGGCAAATATAGCATTTTTTTGGGCTTCAGTTAAAATTTAAATATTATGAATATAAATGAAAATATATCAATAATAGTAAAATGAATTTATATAAAAGCACTATCTGCATATGCTAAATGGGTTAATTAAGATTAGTTGACAGTGATGTTAATTAGAAGTTTTTTTTTTTTTATATTGCTAAAATGTTTTTAGAAAATACATTTGCCACAAAATTACTTGGTCAGAATAAAAATTTAAATAGAAGCTATAAATTGACCTCGTAACAATTGAATAATATAATTGATTCGGAAAAATCATTTTATTCTAATTATATCGTTTCTTCATCGAAATATTCTAAATTAACATAAATTAGAAGCTTCGAAAAGGCCTGGATGAATTACACAACTATTATTATAATTCAATCATTTCATCGTATCATAAAAAGAATTTATAAAAATCATTTAAATACTGAAAGCTTCCAAGTTTTATATCAATGTAAATTAATTCTCACTTGTTGAGAGATACACGTTTCGTGGATAAGGAGACACCGAGTTACACATTTTTGAAAGACTAGCATAGAGGACTAAACAGTGATATCCTATTTATGGTCTAACCGAGTGTTAATAATTTAGTATCCCTTTGTTGGGATTGTTTATATTTATTAGAAAAAAGTTAGAATAGAGGTTGATAACCCGTAACATGAAAAAGTATTGATGAACATAAACATAAAAAATCATCACCAATTTTGCCATGCATAACTATATGGTCTCACTGATTTTTATGTCAGTAATGAAAATGATGCTTAGACCAGAAGTGTTTGTGTTTCTGGGCATTACTCCAAGTCAATATTAGTTGGCTGTTAACTTCATGATCACGGATAGAATCAGTGAAATGAGGTTAAAACCAAACAAAACAGAGAATTATCCTAACTGAAGTTAAGCTTGTCGGGCTAGACATTTTTGATATCGTTACTTAAGGGTATATTTGTAGAAATTATCTGTTGTCAGAAAATCCAAGTTTCTTGTCTTATTTCAAAAGTATCACTGATCACTATCTAGCAGAAATTTAAATTTCCAATTTTCCTCAACCCAGAAGAACAGTCCAACTCCCAAAGCATGATCGTTCATTGGTATTAATATTATATGCCTCTCATCTTATAAAAGCATTTTCAAAGAAGAAAATCTATAAAGCTCATATAACACACATCCTTAGAATACCTATAGACGGAACTATAATCCTGAATCTTGCAACCACATTCCATGTGTACATCTGCTATCTGCATGCCTCTAGAAATACCAATCCACATGAGTCCTCTTACATATATAAATGAAAACTGACAGTTTTAGTCCAGGTTCGAGCAATGATGAACATAAGCAATTGAAAGCATCATAAAGGACAACTCATTAAACAATCCTAAAATCAAAAGCAAAGAGGGGAGAAGAAATGGCAAAACTAAAGCAAGCCATCTGCCAGTGAGCAATTAACAAAGTATCTCACTTTTGATTTGGCGTACGTGATAGCTGCTGTTAAGCTGGTAGACTCATCCTTTGCTCTAGCCAGTGTCTGCTTGCAAGCAGTCTCTTTATCACATATTGACCGAAACTTAGCTGCCACGGTCTTCTTTTCTGCTTCACATTCTTCCAATTCTCTCTCCACAGTTTCAATGACTTTTCTATTGCTATCTTTTTTCTCTTTAAGCATGCTAGACTGTTTAAAAATCTGCCTTGCCTCAAGTATCTCTTCCAGCCTCTGGCGAAGCCACTCAATGTTCACTTTCATATTCTTTATCTCATTTGCAAGTGCAATCATATTATGCAGGTCATCTTCTTTGATTTTATTGAAATCCTTGTCTTGCAATTCTGAGATTATATCACATATCATCTCCAATAACATGGAGCGGAATTTCTTTGTCAATACTGTACAATTCTTAAAAACATCTCCATGCTTACTGAGAATTTTTCTTAATACAGGCATGGATTCTGGTTTCACTTGGTATCCTTCAACCGTGTCCATTGGTGAGTTTTGTCCAACGGAATTAACCTCATCATCTTCATTATCCCACATATTAACCATTCCAGTTAGGTTGAAGCTGAAAGATGGGGATGGAAGCTCAACCATTGAAATAGAATTGCTTTTGTTCTTATTTGCTCTTTCCTTGAAGTTACTTGATGTTTGGAAATCTACTACCAAAGTCACTTGATGCTCAGGAGGGACACATTCTGCTGCAAATGTATTCTGTTGTACCCTTTGGATTGTACGATTAGCCATTGATTTCTCAACCTCACTCACTTCCTCCATTTCAGCTATGTCAACAGAGAAGTTCTCTGGAGGAACAGAATCTGCAACCTTTTCATGTCTGATTTCTGGTGCAAGGGTGGAAGGTTGAGCAACTTCTGTTGAATGGGATTCTAGTTGTAAAACAGAACATTCTTGATCATGGTAAGCCTGCACAGATGTCATTCTAGTTTCAATAAACCGCTTTGCTGATCTCAAAGAGGCGCGGCGACCAGAAATAGTAACAGAATCTGAAATGAAACGTTTTCTGGTTGAACGAGGGCACTCCCAAGAGTCTGACTGTACATTGAACATAAGCCAACAATTTGCAAATTAGAAATAAACCAATGATAAGGAAAAGAGGGGGAAAAAATAGAGAAAAAAACAGGTCACTGCACATCCTTTTATATGTTACTTACATTCACAAGAATGAAAAGTATGTTTGTATTTTGAGTACGATTCATATAGGTTTCCTTGAACCTTCATCTTCCCAATACATACATAATGTTTTTAAATGTGGATACAACACTAAATATTTGTGAAATTGCTGTGCAAAAAATGAGGATTCATATTGCTTCAACTCTCAAGATGACTGCAATGGTTTTTCCTTAACAAATAACATCAAGTCATCAACATATAGGGGCAGATCATGGTCAAAGTTTTATTGAATCAATCAAATATGGGGGTGATTAGCAATCCAAAATCCTAGTGAAGAGGTTTTATTCAAATCTTCAACTTTAATAAAACAATAGAGGAAAAAGATTAATGGGAATGACAAGAAAGTTACTTTCCAATTTCCGTGCGTGGAGGAGAAAAACCAACCTCCACCACCCCTACAAAGGACATTAAAGTCACTAAAAAAAATTAGAAGCTTTCTAGCACAATCATGTTCCCTTAAAACAAAATGAGAGAGGGAGACATTTGGTTTTGATCTCATGGTCTCCAATCCATGATGTTCCAAGTTCATGTCTTTCCCTTTTACTGCTATAAAAACGTCTCCTTTATGGTGCAAGGTACATGCATGCTCACAACATTGGTGAAATAAGAGAATGCGCGACATGGGTTACCTGGTTGTTGAGATTGGAGGGTGAATGAGAGTGAGAAGAATCCATAACCTGACCCTTCTTCCCCTTCATTCTTCTTTTTGCATGTTTAGTGTCACCGCCCTTGCTCTCAGATTGTTTCTTCAATTTTCAATACGAGAGAGTAAGAGAGAGGTGTGTGTGCTGTGTCGCGCACGGTATCAGTATTGAGTCCTATAGGATACACTGCCACTGCAGCGGGTTCTAATACACTTTCCATACCATGTTTGACCAACCATTTTTTCTTGGTTAAAATATAAATTTAATCTTTATAATTTACTTGGGCTTTTTTTTATATAATTATTATTCAATTATGGAAATATGATATTTTTAATAAAATTATAAAAATATGTTTTTTTTTTCAAAAATCGCTGTCAGTGAATTTTAGTTAAAAATGATCATCACGATTTTTGACTATTTTTTATACTTTTTAAATATTTTATTATTATATTCTTTTCAAAAATTGTTAGCAGACGATTCTTAAAATTCTATCACTTTTTATTTTTTATTTTTAAATTTTTGTAATTGCACCACAAAAATTGTTATTAGTAATTTTTAAACTTCACACTTTTGTAATTTTTTTAAAAAGAAAATCATATTTTAATATATATAATTTCTGAATACCATATATAAAAAAAAATCCTTATTTACTTAGCTTTCATAAGTTATTTTTATATTAAAAAGCTTAAGATTTAACTTTTATATGATTATTTTATTTTATTTTGTTATAATTTTAACAGTAAAAATTATTATTTAATTTTAACATTTTTATGATATTTTAACTTAAAATAAATTAGTAAAATATTTATATAAAAATTTAAATATAATTTATATATATATAATTAATTTATAAATAAATATTAACATGTATTTTATTTTTTATATTTTCTTTTTATTTAACAATTAAAGCGGTAGTTCAAACATTAATTCTTTGATATAAAATTAATCGTTACATTTTATAAAAAATAAAATTTAAATATATTTATCTATTAGTCTGATATTGAATAGCTTAAAAAAATTTATAAATAACTATTAATTAATTGATTAATAAACTATAAAACTTTATATTTTAAATTAAGTTTCTCATCTTATAGACTATGTAATATATTTTAAATATTTATTTTATTTTATTATTTAATATAATGTACAATTTTTTAAAAAGCTCGTGAATTTTATAATATCAAAAATGAAAAATATTGCACATTTTTTGACGTTGCAATGCTTTTATGAGATTATAATATATGGTATTCTAATGTAAAATTTAAAAAAGAAACATCTTTTCTTATAAATAGATGTTGGATCTTTAAAATAACATTCACTTTTGATATTTTATAAAAATAAACTCTTTATATATATATATAGAGACATAGACTCTATTTAAATATTGCATTTATATACACTTTTTTCTTTTCATTCTTTGCAAGGAAATTACTTTAATACAATTATCCTTACCTTATTGAATAAACAAATATTTATTATTTATATTTAGTATATACCTAACATTTATGGAAGAAAGACAACTAATATAACAAATCTTACTTTTTTGTCATTGTAAGTAAAAATTACAGAGATGCTTTTATCTGGATTATATTCATCTAACGATTTTTTAAGGTATTCTCAAGGCACATACAATAAGAATTTATGTATAATAAATTATTATTAAAAAGGATATAATATTTCTAAATTTAATATATTAATAATATTAAATATTATCACTTTCAATTAAAAGCTTACAATTTATGAATTTATTATTAATTGCTCTTAGTTTGACTTTAAAACCAGATTTACAAGAAGAGTTAGGTGTTTTAGGCAAAGATTAAATCCCTCAATAAATCCATTTTCTGAATGGGAATTCCAATATGATTCTCTAATCTTACTTTAACATTAGGTTAATAGTAATTATTAGCTAACATGAAATAATAATAAATGTATATAAAATTCCATAATTTATCACTAAATTCTAATCAAATGTCCTCTGCCTAACTAAAAAAATTAGATTATAAATAATAGTTAGATAAAATAAAGTAATATTTAAATAATAAAATAAAATGTCATTTTCGAATCTGAAATTGAGATTATCAATCAATATAATTTTTGATGTTGTAAAAATATTAAATAAATAAATAACTTAGACAGATATCCACTAATTGATTTGATTTAGAACATTATTTAATTATTTAATTTTTATTAATTAATTTAATCCTTAGGGTTTAAGATTAAATTTATTGATCTGCATCAAATTTAAAAATTAAATTGACTAATTATTACTAAAATTAAAGATAAAATTGCTTTTATGAGATTACATTAACTAATAATTGTGAAAGTAAAGAAGTGATATTTTATTTTTTTTATAATATCAAAAAATATTTTTTAATTTAAAAATTAAAATACCATAAAATTGAAATGACTATAAGTATATTTAAATATGATAAATAATATAAATATGTTTTTATCACCAAAATTATGACCTTTTTATTGGGTATTAATAAACCTTCATTTTTTTTTATTTTAGGTCATAAAAAAATCTTTGACAAGAGACGAAAAAATATATTTAAATTCTTAAAAAAAATGATATTGATATTTTATATGTAATAATTACATACGTATAAATATATATTGATTAACTCTGAATCCTGCTGAAGAATGGATCATGGATGGCACCATTCTTTCATATTCTTCTGAAGAGTTTTGAACTCATGGCTTTAACTCTACATCTTGTCCAAGAAAATCGCCATTCTTATTATAAAAACTGATCATTTGGATGATTTCGATTGGTTCTTGAATCTTCTCCTCCCCATCAAGCTGCATAAGCTTATCTTTATACCATACTTTCAGATGATTCACCATTTCTGTGATCTTGAATTCAAATCGATCATCTTACTAATAGCATTCATCTTTAGATTCTTTGTGTTTCGCTAACAATACTTAAAAAGACTGAGATCTCAAGTATATGTAATTATATCTTATTAAAAATCTAAAAAAATTAAAATGTTATAAAATATAGTTACTAAAAATATATTTAAATCAAACAAATAACGTAATTTTTTTGTCACTAAAATCATGACCTTTTTTTTTATTAATTAAGTTATATTTTTTTTAATTTTTTGGTCTTAAAAATTTATTTAACAAGAGACTAAAAAATGTATTTATTTTTTTAAAAAATATATTATTGATATTTTATTTTTTTAATAATTACACATGTATAAATATATTTATTAACAAGTTAAAATTTAATATCGGGAAGAAGTAAAATATATAAAATTTAATGATTAGAGGCGGTGAGTAATAGTAATACTGGTATATGTTAAAAGGGATTGTGCATTGAATTTGAAAGAGAAAATAATTAACCGTTTTCTTATAGTTTAAGCCTTAAGCAGCAGTAACGTTCCTCGTTACCATAGAAAGGAAAAGAGAGAGAATGATTTTGAATTTAAAAGACAAGACAACCTGGATGCAGTTTCCACGCGTTGTCTTGTCTTGTGTTCCTTCTTCTTCAAACCCCTTTTGCTTCCTTCACTCATCTCAATGATTCCCAATTGCACTTTGAAAGATCACTTCTTTTCAATCACAAAGGTCACAATTCAATCTTCCCTTCAACCCACATGTGATTTCTTGCATTTCACCTTGAATTCTAGCTTATTTTCACGACCCTTTGAGATTTTATGCCTTTTCTGATCTTCATAGGTCTCTTTTAGATGACCCTTTTCAGTGTAGCATTAGTAGATAGTGTTTGTTGTGTTGCTTCAGTTTGAATTGGGGTGATTTTTCTTGGTTGGGTCTTGTTTTTTGCTGATTGGGTATTTTGATTTGATGTCTGTATTGTCATTGTCGTTTTTGGTGGCAGGTTGTTCCATATTTCCCTCTAAAGTCTATTCTTTTGCTTTACTATCAAGATGGATTTGTTTGATGTTGAAAACTATCACTCCTTGTACTGGAGACATGAATTTTCCTTGGAGCTTCGCTTAGAATTGAACTTTTTCCTCTTTTGTTGGTGGGAATAGGGTATTTATATTTTATTGCATTCGTTCACTTTTATGATTTATAAAAAACTTTAATTTATATATCTGATATATAAATGTGTGTGCTTGCGTGTGATTGTGTCTGTGTGCGCGCCCTTGCATTGTTGTGATCCATCATAGGTTTTAGAGCCTTATTTTATTTATGGCACTTTGCTCAGTTCAAAAGTTAAATTGATGCATACCCTTTTACTCTTAGATCTTATTGAGCTTTGAATGAGGGAAAAAGGTGTGTTGCCTGTTGCAGGGGTGTTGAATTGAATTGGATTGATGTGCAATGCAGAGATCACGTAAGGCTCTTCTTGAAAGAAGAGCTACGGAGAAGGCTACAAGTGGGAGAAACTATCTGTATAAGGTTTCTCTGTCATTGGTTTTTGTTTTGTGGGGCCTAGTCTTCCTCTTCAGCTTATGGATAAGCCACAGCCATGGTTATGGAGGTATCTTTTGTTTTCTGTTGGCTTTGTTTTTAGCTGTTGAGGTATGCTTTGAATGAGATTCCTTCTCTGCTTGGCACTGTTGTTGCTTGTAGATTGCCATTATGAAATCATGGTTTGTGGTAGATGGCTACCTGGCCTTGTTTTGTCATTGAGCTGCAAGTTTTGCATCAGTTGGTCTCTGTGTTCTTTGCTGGTATAGATCTTGTAAATTGTAGATAATTTATTTCTTGTCTTAGAATACAGATATTGATCACTGTTATTCTTATGTTTGCAAATAATATCATTGCATTGAAAGCATTTTACTTTCAATTTATTTTCCTTATGTTTATTACTTTGTTAAAGAATTTCGTTAGGGGTTTACTTGTTGAATTTGGTCACAATGATCACTATTTTATGCCAAAATCCCTAAATAATTTCTTCCAGCAGTGTCTTTGATTATCAGAGGGCATGACATACTATGGGCTTTATTGGCTTAGATTTGTAGAAGACTAGGATTGGAAGGGGGAAAGCATATTGAGGTTGAAAAGAAAATTGAACCAATTGCTACTTCTTAAGTGACTGATCTAGAGATTAGAATTGTTGTTTAAATGAGGAATGGAGCTAAACAAATGCAAAAATAAGAATGAATGCCAGACGCCATAGTCCATTCCCACTTGGCATTTATTAAATGTAATTTCATAGAAAGTGGATAAACATAAAAACAATGCAATGGAAAGGCTACTATCATATTCAAGACTTGGCTATTAAATAGATTTAAATAATGGAAATTTCTAGAACTTATGCAATCCTCGCTCCCTTGTGAAATTTCAACTATGTTGATGAGGAGAAGAAGCCTTCCCATTGATATGTAAGTAGTTGAATAAAATCTGACAATTTCATTACAAGATTTATTTTACAAACACTTCCCTGGTTTAACAATACAAACAAACAGAGGTTCAGGTTTGCATATTACTGCATTATTTTTAAACAACTCAACAAAATCAACTCTAAAAAGAACCCTTCTTTACTGATAAATGGATTCATCTAACTAGTTGTGAGATTACAATATACAGAAATGTTGAAGACTTTAAAGTGAAAGAAATAGTTTAAAAGAATGATTTCTGCAAACCAAATTTCCTGGCCTAATTTGCATGCTTTACTTTGATTGTGTAATGAAAGGTAGAGGTCCAGAAATCTGGCTGCTGATTGCCCAGCCAACGATTAAGCTTATTCTGTCTGAGGCAATTGTGTACCTTGCTATTGGTGATGAAATGTTATCTTTAATGCTTTATTAATTTTAAGTTATGAATGCAAGATAAATGCATCCTTGTTTGCTATTCATGCTCGTATATCTACTATGCACATTTATTTTTTATCACATTTCTATCGAAAAGAAAATATATATCTCTTATTGCTACATTTACTTCATTCCCTCGCATGGATATTTGTTTCTTGATGACAAACATATATGGCATTGCTTTCAAAAACCAAGAGTCCCCTGTGGGTGCAGATATGTGTAACTTATTCTTATTTAGTCAGCTTATTGCCTACATGCAGATGGATCTGGAGAAGTTCCAGTTGGTATCTCAAATTGGAATGAAGATGAGCACAAACAATATCAAAACTCTGATTCGGCTCGTGAATATTTGACTAAAGAGGCTGATGCCTACATTACTTCTGGGACTTTTTGCTCTAATGGTGCCAAAACTGATGGTTTTATTGGTGAGTCACTTTCCAATGGAGAAAGCATAAACTATCTTGAACATGGTGATAAAGAAAATTTCATTTCTCCTAATATGGAGGAACATGAAATTAAGAGATCTGAATCTGTTCTGAAGCATGAAAATGATGTGCAAAAATATAATCGTTTTTCTCAGGCAATGCCTCTAGGTCTTGATGAATTCAAGAGCAAGGCTATTGGTTCCAAAATTAAATCAGGAGCTAGTCCATCTGGAAGTGTTATACATAGATTAGAGCCTGGTGGTGCAGAATACAATTATGCTTCAGCATCAAAGGGGGCAAAAGTGTTAGCTTCTAACAAAGAAGCAAAAGGTGCCTCTAATATTCTAGGCAGAAACAAAGACAAATATCTTCTAAATCCATGTTCTTCAGAAGAGAAATTTGTCATTATAGAACTTTCAGAAGAAACCTTGGTAAAAACAATAGCAATAGCTAATTTTGAGCACCATTCTTCCAATTTAAAAGATATTGAATTGCATGGCAGTTTGGTCTATCCAACAGATGCTTGGGTCTTCCTTGGAAATTTTACTGCCTCTAATGTGAAGCAGGCTCATCGGTTTGTTCTTCAGGAGCCAAAATGGGTGAGATATCTAAAGTTGAATCTTCAAAGCCACTATGGTTCAGAATTTTATTGCACATTGAGCACAGTTGAAGTTTATGGGGTCGATGCCATTGAGAGAATGCTGGAGGATTTGATATATGCTCAAGATAAGCCATTCACATCTGGGGAAGGCAACGGTGACAAGCGGGCAGCATCACTCTATCCTAACTCTGCCGAGGCTGATGATGTTCAGCAAAATACTTTTGAAGGGAGCAATTCTGACCCTTCTTCAGAAATCTCTTCTACATACCAAGAGGCTGTAAATGTAAATAGAAATGTTCCTGATCCAGTTGATGAAATCCGTCAACAAGTAGGCAGGATGCCGGGGGATACCGTTCTCAAGATTCTGATGCAGAAAGTTCGTTATCTCGACTTAAATTTATCTGTTTTGGAGCAGTATATGGAGGACTTGAATTCTAGATATGTCAATATTTTCAAAGCGTACAGCAAAGAAATAGGAGAAAAAGATATACTTCTACAGAAGATCAAAGAAGACATCCAGAGTTTCCTCGACCGACAGGATGTTATAGTATGTCAACTTAATTCCTGGATATTTTTGGCAATATTTTTGTCAATAATTACCAAACATGACTGTAATTTTACTTTTCATTCACTTAAAATGGTTTCTTGGCCTTGCAGATAAAAGATGTTAGTGATCTTGATTCTTGGAAGTCCCATTTTTCCGCGCAACTGGATCATGTACTAAGGGACAACGCTGTTTTAAGGTGAGAATTCACAAGCTCTTTGATTTTCACTATAAAGGGGTAGTTCATATTTAATAACTAGACTAATTTGAGAGGCCCTTCATAGCATAAACAGTGGATTAATTTCATGCATCTCCCTATCTTGGTCTTCCATATAGTCAACATCTAGTAGTGGAATAAGATTATTGTTGTTATTGTTTATCCTTTGATTTATAATTGCTTGTCAATAAATATGAAGGTCATTTTGTTTTCTTTAGCCATTAATGCTATTAAATTATACAGTGTATTTTTTAATTAATTATTTTGTCTTGTGATCTAATTTTTAAATAATGCAGGTCTGAGGTTGAAAAGATCCGGGAAAATCAAGTATCTTTGGAGAACAAAGGTGTAGTTGTGTTTATTGTGTGTGTTATTTTTTCATTGCTTGCTATATTACGGCTATCTTTGGATGTATTTATGAGGATATGTGGAGTACTAATTTTTGATAAAACAAATAACTCTGGGAAATTTTGCAAAGGTTGCTCTTCCTGGTTTCTATTGTTGAGTTGTAATATTGTTATCATCATATTGACTTTATGATAATCCATTTTGAGCTAAGGTGTCATCATTTCCAGCTGCATTATTCTTTTGAGCCTTTTTAGGTGGAGAATCAATTCTTGCATTTTCTAATGCAAAACACACGTTTCAACAAAAATATGTGATTCAAATTAATATACTTACACTTCTCAAAAATATTAAATAGTTCAAAATTAATTTCATCAAAATTAGTTACTATGTTGGTTCATTCATTATATTCATTCAATTTGTTTTGCAATCTTTTGAAGCTTTATTTCATGTTCATTTAATAAATTTTATATACAAAGCTTTCGTTTATAAAAGCAGGGAAAAGAAAGTGCTCACACGTAATAAGCCTCCGAAATTTTGGGATTAAATTTTAATAGAAATAATACCTTAATAAAAATTCATTGGATTAAATTTAAGGCAAAATTTTTATTTCTAATAAGTATTCACTGATTTCATAATTTTTTAAAATAAAAAAATAGATTGATTTAAACTTGATATGTTAATCTTTTAGTTGCTTTTATAAACACTATATAACTTAAATTAAAAATAAAATATTAACTACCCTTCCTTCCTCTTCCAAATTTAACTCTGAAATATAACTTAAATTTAATTCTAAATAATCTTTTACTTTGGATTTTTTATTCTCTCTCAAATTTCAACCGTATCAGATTCATGATCTTTTTTAACTGTTTTTAATTAAAAGTTTAATTTTTGTCTTAATTCTGAGATAATTGTATTTTTTTTTCATTTTTAAATCTTTCATATATCTAAATCAATTATACATTATTTATTTGAATTACTTGTGCACATTTATGATTATAATTAAATTTTTTTCTTTTAATTGATTTTTTTTTCAAAATTTTCTAGAAGACTCAAAATATTTATTATAATAGAATAATGTATGTTAAAGTTAATTTATTTCAGTTTCTCGCGTGTTTTTAATTATTTCAGTAAACCTTTGAATTAGTAGAACCTCCATGAACTAGCTCCATATTTTTTTTTTTGGCAAAATTATTTTTTCTGTTCTTCATCATGTTTGGATTAATGAAGAGTTAACGGGAACTTTTTTTGTTATGGGAAGATGTACAAGTCTCCTTTGCCTCCAATTTCAATTGAATGATATTTTTTGAAATAAAATATAAGTTAATAAGTGATTGGAGGAGAGTTTCTATTGAAATTAAATCAAGCATACATGCACGACAAGTTTTTATTGACAAAAAATAATTCTTTCTTGATGATTAGAAGACTTTTTCATCTTTCATCTAATGTGTAGAAAAATTAATTGCTGATAAATAGGAGTGAATACTTTTATTATTATATGTAGTAAATGTTTGCCTATAAAAGACATGCATTGTAACATACTAGTGTAATGTGAATTATTAAATGAAATTTTAAGATATTATTTTTCTTTATTTCTTAATTTTGCTGTGCATGAGAGAGTTTATAATACTTATCTGATATCGGTGACTTTCATTGTTTATTATTATTTATATTTAAGAAATTTTGATATAATTTTTTATTTTTTAACATGGTTATACAAGAAAAAAAAAGATTTTTTTTTAAACAAAAGTGTTTAAAATGAGAGTAATAATAGATACAAATTTATGACAAAGAAAGCAATTAATTAGAAAGAGTTCTTGGGGTTTTCCTTTCTCAATGCTCAGCTCCATATATCAATAACATATGCTTGCCCATTTAATAACTATCTCCGATCTTATGATATAACCTCTACAAATTTCATGTCCATACGATACATATGTTTCCACAACCTTTGGTTTGTTTCATTTGTTTCTATTTCCATCCCTATACACTTCAACCCTTTTGTCTCTTCATCCTCTTAATTTCTATCTTTTTCTCTAAATTCTTATGTCACCATTTTGAATGTTCCTTGATGACATCTTCAATAATTTAAGTTTCAATAATTTAAGTTATCAAATGTACCAAAAGATTAGATAATGCTTTGTTCACATATTCATCTAATAAAAAATCTAATGTTTTGGACGGATCATTGAAACAAAAAATAACAAAAGGTAAAAAGGCCTGCATTGTATAATAATAATAATTAATAATAATAATAATAATATTATTATTTAATCTTTTTATTAAATATTTACGTTATTCTTTTGCGGTGAATATCATAACTTTTCTCTGATTAAAATTTCGCTTTAATTTTTAAAATATATAAATTCTTTTAAATTATTTCCTTAAAATTATTTTAAATGTTAGTTCTTAATATTAACAATCAACAATTAATTTAGTCTTTATTGTTAAAAAAAGTTAAAATTGAGTAAAATGATTTATCATTGCAAAATAAATTTTGATATTACACAAAATAATATTATTTTAAGACACAAAATAATATCATTGATTGTTATGATTAATTGTTGATTGTTAATATTTTAAGATTAAATAATCTTAAACTATCATTTCATTTCTAACTTTTAAAATTTTTTGATAGTAAAATCTTTTCTTGTTTTTCTAATTCGTTTTTTTTTCATAACATCTTCTCTTTCTCTAGACACTACAAAATGGAATCTACTTGCCAACAATTCCGCCAAACCTCTCACAAACTACTCTAACATGTTATATTACACTTCTACGCAATAAAACACTAACTTCTCACTCCTATGTGCTCCCTTTAACTTATTCATCTTCACCTTCTTCTATTCTATTTCCACTTCCTCATTATTCCACACTGGAGTGAGAAGTTAGTGTTTTATTGTGGAAAAGTGTAATATTACATGTTAGAACAACTTGTGAAAAGTTTACCAGAAATTTTAGAAAGTGAATGCCATTGTTCTTGTGGCTAAAAGAACGAAAGAAGACCCAAAAAAGAAGATGAAGCAAAAGAAGAGGAAGAGACCTTATTTTCTGAAAATCTCAAAAGTTAGGAATCAAATGAACTATTTTCTAAATATCCCCAAGTTAAAGAAGTATCAAAATTTATTTTTCTTTTTCTTTTTTAAAAGTAGTTTCTATACTTCCTAGATACGTATCAGAGTATCGAAGCATATATATATCCGATACCGATACCCGATGAAAAATGGAGTATCAGTGTTATAGGTGTGATGAGATACACAATATTTTCACACTGCAACACAAGCGGGATCAAGGAAGCTTCAAATTTGAGCTGCAAAGCATAAGAAAAAGCTCAAGAACAATTTCACATAAAGGTAATTGTTGATTCCTTGATGGATTACTCAATGTATATGATGAACTTGTTACTGCAGTCATTTGTTGATTTGATCTAATACTTACTGCAAAAGAAGCTCATATTGAATGAAACAATAGTGCAACTCACAGAATATTTCTCGAAATCATACACTAGCTTGTTTTCCTTTCAATCATGCTCCAACTCCCATAACTTATCCTTCATTAGGCCAAGTCAATGGAGCGAATCAATGAAACCTATGGTAATCACAAATCAAATAGCAAGACCACAATTATTGAGGTGGCACTCGAGACAATTTAGGCCACAGTGGATGCTCCAGCTGTGTCCACGGTCATGGAGGGAGGTTTGATCTGTAGAATTGAGTTACATCAACAACCTTTGCAAAGATCCATTACATTCCAATTCCAATACACTTTTCTCTCCAAAACTTTAAAATAGCCAAAGCCCCTCATCAGTCCTATTCTTTATTCCCTAAAATCTCAATCCCTTGAACGAAAATGTTATGCTTTCTTCTCTTCCTTTTGGATTATTCCCCCTTCATCCCCAAAACAAATCAACAACCTCTAAGTGTCTTCCTTCTAAGATCTCTCCTACTACCATCTCAATTTCAACCAATCCCTTTCCCACTCCAAGCTGTAATAGCTATCAAGTCAAATGACTTGCGGAAGAAGACTTTTGGGCATGCATATGATCAAACGAAAACCAAGCCTACCTTCGATTGCTTATTGAGAATACGTCTTTGCTCCTTTATGCTACTATTTGAGCTCATCTTTTGCAGGAAGAAGAGGAAGAGAATGGCGGGGGGAAGGAGGAAATAGAAGAACTAAAGTGAAAAAAAAAAGGGTTAGAAAACCAAAGGTATAATTTTGCTTTAAAAATGTGAAATACAATATGTATAGTCAAATCCATATATTTTTAACATTACAGTGTGTTTTTGACCATATGATATATATGTAAACATCCCCGAAAGATGGTCAAATTAAGCATCCTCAAACTTAGTCAGATGCCTAATCACATAAACAAGTTAATGGGACGAACATCATGTAGTGATGTTAGTTTTATGATCACCAAAAATATGGTGGCTATAAATATATGTTTTAGAAATAAAAGATTGATAAAATATTATTTGTAACATACTCTTTATTTAGTTTCCACAACCCATTGCTGAAGAACAATTAGTTCCCTGTGAAAAAAATTCCCTACACATAATTGTTGCCTCATCTCAATTTTCATTGTATAATGTTAATGAAAGTGTTTCAGCACAGCAGAAAAATTGATCTTAAATTAAAAGTTAGAAGTAGAAGATATAGCAATGAACTTTTTGCACTAATTCAATTAACTAATTCTATCCCTGTCAAAGGAAGCTTGGCATGAAGTTGAAGAACGACATCACCAACAACCTGCAGTCAACAACAGGCAATGAAAAATATCAAATTTCACAGTGCAAAGTTTTTTTGCCCCTCCATCTCTCTCTTAATCAAGAATTCAATAAATTGATGGGTAGAATATGATTTCAAAAAAATACTAAGGTAAACAAGCAATTTAAGCACAGTGGACATAGATAGCCACACGCACCTTAGCCATGGCTCTATAAGAATGCTCTGTAACGCCTGCAACATGAGGAGTCATGATAACATTCTTAAATTTGAAAATCTGATCACAAGGGTCAAATGGCTCACTCCAAGCTACGTCAGTGCCGAACCCTCCTAAATGACTTGATTCAAGGTGGCTGACAAGAGCCTCGTAGTCTACAAGACCGCCTCTAGCAACATTCACCAAAAGGGCACCCTGAAATATATAATTGTATAATAACACATAAATTAAAAGTTTCACCTGACAAGCAAATTAAACCAAATGATATTTATTTATATTAATGTTATTTTTCTTGTATTCTATTTTTATAGTACAAATTGATGAACTGTCACTAGGAAAACATAATAATAGATTTGCAATTACTTCACATCAACATAAAATGGTAGAAACAACCAGAGAAAGCCACTCGTCGTATATGATAGGTCCCTTTCCAAAAATAATCATGATCTATTATAATATCTTCCATTACTTAAGCATATGTGAACTATGTGAACTAATTATTCATTTTTGCAATGATATCAACCAAAGATACGACCTCTCAAGTTAGTATTTGTCGCCCTTCTCTCAACCAGAAGACAATTTTGTTTCAATCCACATCAATCATATCCTTTCGACATATGTGCCATCATCAGATATCACTATTGCATTGAAAAGTTGATCATCATTAAAATATTCTCCCTTGTTTGGTGATCACTTCAAGGGGGTCATGTCCTCCATTAAAAAGCTTAAGGCTACTAATTGTTGTTCCGTATAAAATAGCCATATTGCATCCAGTTGTAAACCCTCAATTTATAAATAAGAGAGAACATAATAAAGGGAAAGTAAATACGTAGATCCAAGTAAATAGGAAACTACTAGATTCAAGGAAAATAAAAAATCAGAATAATAATAATAATTGTTAAAATTTAGAGATCACAATAAGCTGATTCCTCAAATATCGCCACCATGAAATATCCAGTCAAAGACACTTATTCCGAATTTTCAACTCTCTAAAGCCAGTTTGGTTGTGGATGAGGATGCCATATGCACACAAAAGTTTAAGTTGGTAATTATATTTAGGGAATCATGCCAACCTCATCTCTAGTTTTGTTAGCATTGTGCTACAAATTCTCAGATCTCTAGGTACCTCTTCAGCAAAAATTGACATCACAAACAGATAGTGCAACTACCTCATCTTCAGTGGGGAAGATTAATTTTATACCCGTATAAAACCCTAGCAATGGTGCTCTCAATCTGCTACAATTCACAGCAGTTCTCAGTCTCTAGTATTTAACTAACTTTGCTTCACAGCTATAATGTGAATCATGTAAGAATAGGATAAATACTGGAAAATTGTGCCTAATGTGGTGCATGTTAGAAATTTATATTATACAGTAAATAAGCCAGTAATAGAAAGCAATGCAAGTAATATATTCAAGCACAATAAATAGTAGTTAATACAGAACTCATAACTCTCTCCCTTAAGTTGGAACATTGCCTGACTTGTTACATGATAGTTTAACTACTGTTATTATGTACCTCTGAGGATGTCAAGTTTCTGCTCCACAGTTCTAATATGTCCTATAGATACAACTACCAGATGAATATTCTCTTTAATTAAACAGTAGTAGATTTCTACATGCTTTGTCCTTTCATGCAATACTGAGTTAAGGCAATGCAAATGGCCACGTGATTGTCATACCACATCTTTATAAGTAGAGTAGGCATGTTGTGTCATATCACATCTTGATAGGTAAAGAAATCTTGAATCCAATCTCATGAAGTAAATGATACACACATAACAATTCACAAGAAGTTCGAGTTATTGTTCAATATTCAAAAGCTTGACCTTGCTACTACTTTTCATATTTACACTTTTCCAAGAAGTCAAATTACCTCCAAAGAACATGGAACAACCAGAGGTTGATTTTCAATCCATAGGACAACTAGTCAATTGGCATTAAATTATCTAATTATCCATGTTCATTGTCTATATAAAGAATCTCATGTCCTAAGACTCCTTTCTTATCTTAGGTTAAGTAAAATTGGATCCCAATGGGAATATCAAGAGGATGACATGAACTAACGAAGCTTAAAAGAAAAGAAAGGTCAGCACATGTCTCTATATGGTAATTCAATACATCAATTAGTCTGTACCACTCGAGATAATTGTAATTCTCAATCACTACAATTGAGTTTTACATTTGAAACCGTCAAAGTAGTAGAAGGTCTATTTCCCAACATACCAATGCTAGACAGGAAGAGACCATGGACATATTTCAGTAGTTTCTACGAGTACCCTTTTTGCTTCTGGTCCAGGACAGAGTTTAGGTGGCCTTGGTTCTTCATGTGAAATTTAGTTTGAACGAAGCTCAAGCTATGAAATGCTAGAGGTGTCACTACTAGTTAACTTTTGAGTTATCAACATAGACCACAATGACAATATACGCACCCTACAATTTCTGATAACAGACAATGTGATCATAGTTGCGTCATTTTTTTGTCAACAATACTCTGACAGATGTGACAACTAAAGATGCATGGATTGGGAAGATGTGGCCATATGATTTAGAGGACTTTGGATCCTCAAGTTGATGATAATAGTACACAAACACCATAAAGGAACCATGGAAATAACTTCACTCACTTTTTTGAAGGTTAGATGATTTATCATTGATCTACACAAAGATGCAGGATCTCAGTTGTACAAACTAAAAGGAAGAGTCACTAAATGAATGTTACAACTTACAGGCCATTTAAACAACTGTTTGAGGAGTTAAACAGTTTCTATACCTATCACTTTTGATGTTAAGATGATGGAACACATTATACAACAAGAACAATTGATTGTTATGAGCTTCTAATTGGATTTATGAGTTGATTCAAGTGTTGCCTAGTCTAAAATTTTGACGGGTTTTGATAATTTGATCACCTCATCCAGGTTGCTCAAAAGCTTTCTAGATCCAATTTTATGACTTCTACTAAAGCATCTCTTTTGGTGAGTTCAATTTTCAGGGAGACAGTTCTAAATCTCATGGTACTAATTCATGAATCACCAACAATTTGACATACAAAAGCTTAAAACATTCACTTCCAATAATCTTATTGTTATGAACCGAAAACAGAAATAGGTAAAAGAAAAATAAAGGTTTTATTGAATTGAATAAATTGATAGAAAAAGGTGAGAGATCTCTCCTCCAAGAGGTTCCTTTTAACAAAGGATTTCTCCTTTTACAAAGGGCAAATGCTCAATTTACAAATGATACGATCCAGATGCCCTTTCCCTTAAATCTTTTACCTCAAATTTGAGTGTGCCCTTTTCTTATTTATCTACCTCAAAAAACCCCTCTAACTTCCAGTCCCCTTCCACAAACTAATAGCAATAACTACTCCAACTTTCCTTTTCCTCTCTCCTAACTCATAACTCTAATATTGTTAAAGAATAGTTATTAGTTTATTTGTGTGTGCATATATATATATATATATGAGTTAGGATCTATATAAGACACTATTATATTATATCCTACTCTTATGGATTACTAAAAGATCATAAAGTAACTTACAGTTCATTGAATTGTGTAAGTTAGGGACTCAAAAATAAAGTATAATAATTTCTACAGAAAAGATTATTCGAGAGAAATAGATAAAGAATGTACGAAGGGTTATTGCAGGATTCCAATCACAAGGAGAGTATCTCCTTCTGAGGACCACCTCTGTCCATACATCTTGTACATAGATTATGATCTTATTTAACAGAAAAAGAAATACGTAAATCTGAAAAATTCAACTGAGATGGTAAACAAACCTTTTTCATAGAACAGATGAACTTATTGTTTATAATATCAGCCTGAAAAAAATTATATCCAAGTCAGCAAGTATGTAAACAAAAAGTTCATTCATATTACGCTTAGCTCATGGCATGCATTTAAAAGCATAAAAAATGGTAGAGCTACATATCATTCAAGCTTATAAGCACAAACAAATTCATCGTACTAATCAACTTTAGACTTTAAATCAGTTCATCAGTCACTACCAATGAAAAATAAAATAAGAATCCCCGTAAAAAGATAACATGTGTTTCTAAATTAACAAAAGCAGAAAAAATAATGGGTAAAAAATAAGTGAGATGCTCTTTTACCAATTGGTCTAAATGTTGCATCAACCATCTACCATAATTTTAAAACCATTAGTTTTTCAATAACTAGTTAAAAAAATTTTTGGATTCAAACTAAACGTAATCAAAGAAACAAAAGAACTACAAAATCAAACAAAATGAAGGATTGGAAAAGGTTCAACCGTTTCATTGTTTAATCTTATGCAGCAAACAACAATGTCAGCTTTCCTTGCAAAGTCATATATATCTTCATGACTGCCCTTCACATCAACAAGATTGTCAACATCATCTTCAACAGCAATAAACAACATGTTAAGAAATAGAAGAACTAAGTTCATTAATTAGAAATAATCCACAACAACTGAGAAGGAATACGTTGACTTATTTTGATATTGTGCTTACCATATGAAGCCCAACTTCGCTTAGTAGCAATAACTTTGACACCAAATGGTTGCAATCGCTTTGCTAAATCGATTCCAATATTCCCAAAGCCCAAAATAAATATCTACATCATCATTAAAACTTAGTTTTTCACAATCAGTATATTCAATTATTGCAAACACATTGCGCATGTAAAAATAAAAATGGGATGAAAACAGAAGTAAAACAAGAAAATCTACTATTCAAAATGATTATATAGCCCTATTTATGTGTAAAACAGATAAAATAGGTATGAAACTATGACAACGATGGGAATATGAATAACAAAATGGTACCTCCCACATTATTTATTTTATTTAATTAGAAATAAAGTATAAAATCAACATTTAAGTAATGCTCCAAGGAGGGTTCTAGAAAGAACTTTGACCTAAAACTGAAGTTTAAATTTACTAACATAAATTTCAGAGCCTTTATTAGTATAGCAAAGAAACATTTGAATGGTAGATCACTCTAATCATTTGTTTAACTCAACACAATTTAAAAATAAATAAAATTTATTCAATCAATTTTAGACTCCCAAAAATAACTATCTACATACATGTTATTCATGCTACTTTTTAAGCTCCTTAAGCCACATGTCAAATATATTTCTTAGTCATCTATCCCCTCTGTCCTCCATTAAAAGTACAAATCATTGATTTCATTTAGCTAAAATAGGTTGAGATCCAATTTAATCAATGTATGTAACTATCCTCGAATCTAAGCATCTAACCATTATGAAAAACAATGTTGCATAACATAGGGATTAAGAACAAAAGGTGGCAAAGCATACAGAGTATTATTTGTTTCCTAAGAAGAATCAATACACTCACAGTTTTCCCAAATAAAGTTTCAGTAATTGGCTCGCCAAGCTTCTTCTGTTGTATGGAAATTTGCAGTTCATTCTGCAAGATCAATTTTTTATTCAAATACTAAACATGTAATGCAAATATTAGGATGTAAAAATTCATACAGTACATAAAATAAGCAAAGCACAAACAGGAAACAAAGAAGAGAAATAAATGCAAAAATTCATGTGGTTTAACCTTCTTTGAGCTAAAGGCCTCATCCATGGGCAAAACTTATGAAACCCAGATACTCCAAATTTGTCAAAATATCAATGTCAGACACACAATCAATACCAATATGCCTACAATACATTCAGATACATATCCAAAAAAGGATCCCAGTTTTTTTTTTTTTTTTTAAATAATTTGGTGGTGTGATATGATTGAAATATGATTGAGAATTTGAGATACGACTTATAACAGTCAGTTACGGCTAGGGCTTATGGACAACATGAGTCTCATCTTTCACACTCAGCAGAGCTTCTGAGTCTTGCAAAAGTGGTGTGTTTCTAGTGCAGTGGCAGCAGTTTGTTGTTGATCTTTCTCACAAAATCACTTGGTGCTTTCTATGTGTTGTAAAGTCACATTTTTACTCTGGTGATGGTGGCGGCTGGCAACTCAGCATTCAGTCCTGTTATAGATTGCATAGCAAGACACGTATAACTGCACAAGCCTTTCATGTTGATATTGCTTTGTCTTTCAAGTGCTTCTAATCTAGAGTTCACAATCTTCCCACAATTGAAGCATTATCTTCCTCTTATTTGGGTATTTTACTACAACTATAGTAATTTGTTGAAGCTTTTATTATTATTATTTTTTCTATACATTTTATCGCAACCTAGCAAAAACTTGAAGTCATGTTAACATATCTAGGCCGTATCTTATCATAAATTTTCAAGAATCTCCCATATCCCCATATCGTATTGTACCTGTGTCAAACTAGGTTTCTAGGCTTCATAGAGAAAACAGAGAAAATTCAATGTGATCAATGAAGATTACAAGAAGCTGCCAATTGCTCAACAATGGCTAATACAATAAAAGCATAGGTTTTGCATACCTAGGCTTGAGGATTTGTTAGATAATGTGGTAGGATTTGGTTTTCACAAGCTTCCCCTTTAATGGTAAAAAGTGAGTTTTACAAATTGACTTGCGTAATGGTTACCATCAAATCTGATAAAGCTTTGGTGATGATTGAAATGCTACTTTTAAAACTAAAGATAACTTGTACAGTGGGTTAGTTATGTCATTTCGTTTGTTTAATGCTCCTGGTCTTGTTGTGCAGGTCTTGACATATCTGTTGTGCCCCTTTCTAGATAAGTTCAAGTTTATTTTGATCATATCTAATCCACCTCATATAAAAGAAATAACATTTTTTATTTTTAAATCTGAAGAAGCCATACTTGCTTTCGAAGGAGACCCAACATTAGGTATATGGCCATTTCAGCACATGAAGCTGAATTTCCTGTAATATCACTTGGGATCCTAGCAACCTTGATTCCATGCTTTGTTGCAGCATCAACATCAACACCTTGGAGGAGAAGTCATAATTTATCAATTTAAAATCAAAATGAAGTTTATCAAAAAAATTTAAAAGCAAAATTAATTATATAATAAATGATTCGTGAAATTCCTCAACTGACAAAAATTAGTGTACCTTCCAGCCCAACGCCATACTGCAATATAAGTTGCATTTGAAGTGCATGTGAAATGATGTCAGCATTTAGCCTCATGTTTTTCACAATGCAAACATGATAGTTAGCGATAACATTTGCTACATCTTCTAAAGGGAGAACATCAACCTAAAATGCAAAATCAATCTAAATTAATTGAACAATTTCCCTCATTGCATTGCAAATTATAGATTTGATCAGATTGTACCTTGATAAATGAATGATTTTGCAAATACTGTGTCGTATATTCATGAGAAGCAGGGAAATGAGGTCCACAAAATAAAACATGGGTGATTTGTTTCTCAATGTCTGTATTACACTCCATGAGACCTGCTGCAACGTTGAATAAGAAAGAGTTAAGAGTTAGAAGAATGAAAAATAAGGATTTGTCTAAGTTACTCCAGGGGTAAATGACCTTATCCTAAGTGAACTAATAAAGTTAAGACACTATATTGAAAATTGTATCAACTTTTTATTTAACACTTTATAGGCAAAATCTCATTAATTCAACTAGGATGGGGTTCTTTACCCCCAATAATCCCACGAGGTAATTTAGACAAATCCTGAAAAACAACTAAACACAAAGTTTCACTCAGCATTGTAGATACCATGCTTTTTGGAGAACCTTGTAGTTATGAGTGTTCTGGTGCCAAGATGATGGTCATAATATGTCTGTGACCTTCGTGCCAATAACAATCGCAGCCCTCTCAACATACTCCCTCTCGCTTTTCCTTTTATTATTTTTGAATTTTGACTTAGGCCAAAAACAAAACGCAAAGCAATTTTGTTCTGTTTATTTTTTAAATAATGGTCAACTCAAGAAACCTTCCTCAAAACATATAAGAATTGCATATTTTATAAAATATTTTACTTTTAATATACTTTTCATTTAATGTCATTATCATTTTTTAGAAAAGTTACATACCATTCAAAAATAGTATAAATTTAAAATATTAATTTTTTAACTATACCAATAATGAATGTCTCACGAAAGTTTTTATTTTTACTTTTAAATCAAATTGAATTAAAGTTCTCTATCTAAAGAGATTAAGACATTTTAGTGAAGTGCAAGCTGTCCTTTATGCAACTTTCTGTCTTTATCCTTTTAAGGTCAATGAAATTATGCATTTCCATTTAAAAATTTTAAGTACCCATTGTGATAACATGTCAAGATCCTAATAGCAAGGTATGGGACTTGAGTCTAACTTTAGAAGGGATTCTAGTGTGGAGTTTATAGGACTCCAACTACAATGGTTAGCTTTTGTGGTGTGATTCTCCTAAGGTTCTTATCATAACACCTTAGAAATTTAACCAAATGGCTGTCCATCATCAAATGATAAATATGAGATACGACAAATTTTAGCAGAAAAGTAAGCAGATTTCAATTGAAAATATCATAAACAATGGTTGCTTGAATTTATGTTCTAAATTTGAAGCTTAAACCAGCAGACCAAAATGTAGTACTTTAGGCCTGGGAAATTACACTTAAAACTGCAAAATACATTAACAAAAATAATAGCTTAAGAGAGTTACCCCAATGCAAGAGTAACTCTTGAGAATTAGAATGAGAGTGGCCTCTTCAATTAGCTGCAGAAATTCCAAGTTGAACTCTAGAATTAGTTTCGATAAGATCAATCTTAGTGGTATTGCAAATATAAACTTTGTAGATATATAAGAAACAACCATTTGGTACACATCCAGAAGGAAACTGAATATTGCAAATTTTATCAGTTTTTGATGTTCAAAAGCTTGATTTCCTTCCATGGGGTGTGTGATCCACACAAAGAGGAAAGATATATGTCAACATCAGGACTCAAAAGCTACTTCAACTTAACAGTGAAACTAGTCTAGTACATGCAACTAATGTTATGGAAGATAGAAAAAAAAGGACCATTCTATTATTGAATAATGATAATTACATACACAAATCTGAATTCCCCTCCCAAAGGTTTCCCTTTCAACAAAGAGTTCCCCTTTTACAATTAACAACTGTGCTCAACACTCTATTTTCTCAAACTAAAAAATCTGAATCTCCAACCCTTCTACTATTTAAGCTAATTCCAAATATCACCACCAAACTAATTCTATAACTACTTTGTAACTAACTTTACAACTCCTAACTTCTAGGATCCTATCAGAAAAGTCAGAGAACTTTTATATAATGAACAGATGAATGCTGCTAGGCACGTATCCCTCTTATTTAGAGAGACCAATCCATGAGTAAAGATGATGCATGATTTCAATTCAAATAAAAATTAGATTATGCAGATAACAAAATAGCAAAAACGAAACTCACGTGACTTAACTGATAGCAATCTCGCTAGTCAGTAGCGAACACTTGTCCTGTGAAGAAGCAATGCGGATATTGTGGATAAGTGATTCAAATCAAAAGTTATAAAAAAAAAAAAATCACTACACAAAAAATAATGATAATGAAATAAAGAACAAATAGAGGTAGATCCACAACCAAAAGACGAAAACTAACCAAAAAACGAGGATACACGACTACTTCAGATCAACCCTAGGTGTGTTGGTTCGAATTTTCAAAATTTCGTATTTGCTCTGCGTTGAAGTGAAATAATTACCACATTTTCTTGTCCTTATCGTACATGTGATTTTACCTCATCTTCTAGATTTACTTAAAATGGGGGCACAAACACACGTTGATATATTAAGCGTTTATATAATATTATAGTAAATGAATAATCGTTTGTTAAGAATTAAGGGAGCATTTCATGTCCTTTTCGATGTTTGTTAAGAATTAATGTAAAATTAATATTTATATTTTATTATAAAATTAGGTTCACTAGTGGTTGCAAAATGCAAATGGCTTGATTTATCCATGGAAGCCACAAATGGAGATGAGGTCAACCAATAGACGATGATTAATTACAAAAGCTGCAGAGCTTGATAGCATTGGAAGAAGAGCTCGTTCGGAATTGAAGAAACCAAGTATAAATGATTTACATTTCTTCGTCATCTTTGCAACTAGTGAGAATGGAGTTAACATTCATATAGCAACTAAAATATATATATTTTTTAAAACATGAAGATTGATTTAATTATAAGGATATTTTAATTAATTATATATTTTTAAAATAGAGGATACCAAACTTATTTGAAAAAAATGCCTGTATTATAATTTTATTTTATTTTCATAATATATTTGATTCTTGGCTAATAAAAAAATTTATTTTATATTTTTATCTTTTATTTTACCTTTTAACAAATAAATAAAATGTCAGTGATGATATTTTTATTATATTATTTTTCACTCTAAAATTAAGTATTGTTATTTTTTATTTTTATGTTATAAAATTAATTCATATTTAAACAATTAGAAAAAAGAAAATGAAACTAATATCTCCTCATTTCACCTTTTGAAAGAGGGAGGGGCATTTCCTTTTAAATAGTGAACTTTTCATGTCATCTACATATATTATTAAAAATTTAATTTAATTTAGGTTACGTAAAATTTAAAAGTTTTATAAATTTTCTTAATATTAAAAATTTCATCTAGTTAGTTTAGGCTTATCTAATATAATACATTAGTCATCATTAATAAAATATTGTTTTTTTAATTTATTAAATTTTTAAAAATCATGAAATATTCTTTTAATTTTTATTAAATTATTTTAATAATATATAATTTTAATTATTTAAATTAAATTATTTTCACGTACTCTACACATATTATTTAAATTTTTCATTAAATTATTTTCATTTACTCTGCATATACTGTTAAAATTAATTTAATTTAATTTAGGTTACATAAAGTTAAATAACTTTTTAATTTTTCTGAATTTTTGTACATAATTCTTACTAATAAAACAAAATATAATTAAGTTATTTTTTGAAAGGATAAAATATGTTATTAAGCCCATAAAGTTATTTCGTGTATGATATGGATATATACAAACATGAATTCAAAAACCATTTATTAAAATACATGCATTCGAAACTTCTTATTTTAAAAATCTAAAAGATCAGTTCGATTATTGGAATATCATTTTAATAATGATTTATTATATTTTCATAATAGTATTTTCAAAATAAAACATATCATTTTAGTTTTATGTTGAAAGGCATCTTAATTATAGAAAAAAAAAGATTATAAATATTTAGAATTTATCGTTGTTATTATTTTGTAGAAGTATTTAACAACTATATAAGTGGTTTTTAATTGCTAACCAACTTTAAGTCAATAATAAATAGTATTAAATAAAGTGAAATGCAATTTGAATCAAATTTATAGTTTAATGTTATTTTTATATTTTTCAAGATATATAATATACCCTATGAATTAAGCTCTTGAGCTAGGAGTTCTCCTGAGTCTCTTGGTAGAGAAGGTCGAGGGAGTTAAAAGATTTAGAATATGAATTTGTAACATTCTATTATCGACACCTAAAAATAGAAAGTTAACTAATTAAGTCCAAGTAGTCATTAATTGACAATTGAAGAGATAGTATTAGTAGGGCAATAGTCATTAATAATCTAATAGGTAATTATTGACAATTAGCTTAGTTTGGGTGCGTGTAGCAATTAATCTACAATCGATCGAGAGACAATAAGATGTTAGTCAAAGACGGTCTTTTCAATTGTGATTGTATCAATAACCAAAGAAGATGAAACTTCTCTAATAAACATGGGACAAACAAATATATTCTTAAGTTTTATAAAAAAAAGTTAAATAATAAACTTATTCTCAATTGAATAATCTGATAAGGTACAGTCAAGGATAAGATGAGAAATCATAATCCTAAGAATTTGGACAGATATTAATAATTATATAGATTTGTCTATGTAAAGGATATATAATAAGAATTATTATTTTAAGAATGTAGAAATTAAAACTTTGATGCATGGTCAAAATTAAAAATCTGTATTATCATTTAAATAAAATTTAACCATCAATGTTATTTTAAAAAAAAGAAAAAAGTTTGAGCTCCCCCCATCTTAAAAATGTTACGCCCCTTGTCAGCAAAGAACCTTAAATTTACAACCATACTCTTCAAATTACATTGGCTAGACTTGGCCACCACACAATATCTTTTCAACTATTTTGCATTTTTATGATTAGTCAGAAAGTAATGGAAGCATCAATCAATCATAACAAATAATGCAAAGCCCAAGCTTGAAAGGGATTAAAATAAGTCATCCTGAGCATAATTTCAATGCAACAGTGCCACAAAAATAGCTATATATAAATAACCAAAAGAAAAAAAAAAACATTTCCCACCTTTTCTTCCCTAAAGATTTGGATTAATAGCTCGTAAGTTTATATTTTAAGAAAAATTTCAGTAAAAAAGCAAAACAGCTACAAGTCAACCAAATTTTGTCATTCTCATTTAATTAAAGAAACAAATCTACATCATATTTTTTTTTCCTACAATTTTGTTGGATTTTCAAAAATAGGAAAAAGAAATACTCTTAGGCATATGAAAATTATAATCTGTGCTTCTTCCATGGGAAAGGAAGCTTCTATAATGAGTTGACCACTGCCTTGTTAATCTGATGCTATAACGGTTCTCTTCACCAACACAAGAACAACTAGCTTGTATTCAAAGTATTCGCTGACATGTAAGGTGATATGCATCCCTGAACCTGTCAGGAAGTCATTTTATTTTAATGAGAAGAAACATGAATCATGACATTATGAACCATAAATAATTTTTAGCACACCCCACCTTGCTAGTCCCAATGCAACTGAGGTCAAAATAAATATTTCCTAACTCTCTCTCTCTCTCTCATTTTCCCTCTCAAGAATTTTCAGTGTTCCTCACTTTATAATAGCAATTTGGGCCAACTCTTGCTCCCAGACTCACAACACCTATGGTCACACCTTACTAGCTAAAAGCACTAATCTAAGGCGGCTACACCTTGTTTATTTCATCCCGGGATAAGCCAACTACCTAGGGCCAGCTCCACCTAATGGGCAACCATTTCCTCTAAAATCTCTAGATCTAGAGACGACTTCACCAGGTTGGTAGTCCTTGCCTCTCGCAAAAGTAGCCATTTCCTCATCGATAGAAGAAATAGTTCATAGAACACAGAACACATTCTAACAACAACAAAAGAATGCAGTTTGGTTTAGCTTTTAACATATTATCTTCCGTCTCTATTAGATTCTGTTAAGAAGAAAGCAAAAGAATGTAAAACAATCGCTTGCCTGCAATAAACAAGCAGGAATTTGGATATAACCCTGTAGCAAGAGGTTGACTTTTTCCAGATAACTATGTGGCACAGGTGTAATGACATAGAGCACACCTTTGACTGTGTCAATACCCCTCACAATCCCTGAAACATGAAAAATCAAGATTTCAACAATGAATATACTTAGAATTATTGAAATGCATAATAACTAGAACAGTGGAAGGTTGTATGATTTGTGCCCATCAGGAATGTCACTTCTCTTATTTTTTATCTTTTATTTACATATGCAGAGATCCCTTAAGATATACTACACTTCTGAGATGAAATTGCAAATCAAATCTAAAAGACACTGATAAACTTGTTACAATCAACAGACATATGATAATGAAGTTACACCACAAATGCACATTCCTTCACAGTATATTTGTGTCATATTGCTACCAAAAGTTTGAATTATTGGTCTCATGTTCAATAATTTAATTTATCTTTTAATCAGAATTATAGTGTCCCTTTTTTCTTTACAAGGCATTCGAAGTGTTCTAGACTTGCAAAATACAGAATCGGGAACTTTGAGCTAGTTTGCAACCCTTTTTAAATCTGAAATTTCAATTTTGCAGAACTATTTCAGTACAATGACCCACTGTTTCAGATCAAGGCACAATGAGAAATTTCAGAATTCAGAAGTTAGTCAAATTACCTACCAAGACCAAAACACCAAGGTAAATTTTCAGGTCCTTCAGAATCAACTGCTAAGCCAACAATGGTAGCATTCAAACTGTAAAATATTTCGGAGGTTGGGACCTACAAAAATATGGGTAGACCATAAAAAAATGTTCACCTCACCTATATATAAATAAAATATTGTTGAAATTCCTAACAAGAAAACAATATATTAAATATTTAGACTCATAGTAAAAAGATTTAAAAATCAAATGGGATTGGAATCAAAATGAACCAAATGCATGAAAACTGAACATATAAAGGGCAACTCAGTCACAAGAATCCACTGTTATGATGCTTGGGAAGGGTTAGATATATACAACTTTATCTTCTGAACCATCAGGTCACAATGTAGCAACTTTACTGTTGCACCGAGGCATGATACAGAATCATAGGTAATAAGTAAAATTTGGACCTGCCTCACAATGAAGATGTCGAAATTTTATGCTTGCAATGGGAACTTCATATGGACGGTGAGAGGCCAAGGCATGTGCAAGTTCCTTGATAGTAGAAATATTTGAATCACTAGAAAAACATTGCCTGAAATAAGCCATTATTCGTAAATCACGCAGGACACGTGCATCCTTCTGAACAAGCACCCTGGGGAAACAAAAATAGGAATATTCTATGATACTTGAAGCATAAAAAATGGAAAGAAAAAGACCAAACTAGCAGCTGAAATTTCAATCAAAATAAGCTTACGATCTATTTAAAGAGTCCTGACGAGCTGAATTTATCTCAATTAAGTTAACTGTTCCATCATGTTCCCCATCTAACCAGAATTCTCCAGCTGGTAAATTCTTATTTTCAGAGGATATGCTTATCTTAACAACATGTGTCGGACAAATATATTTCAATATGTCCACTAATACATCATATCCAACACCTGAAATACAAAAGAAAAGAAATTATTGAACAAGTACCATACTAGATGATATATAGATATCATCCTAGGAAAAAAGTGGTTTAGCAAAAGTACAAATGCTGGATTAAAAATATCAGATTAATAATTGAAAAAATAAGTGAGCTTACCTTTCACCCAGCCAGGAGTATTCACGATAAGAGGCAACTCAATCCTGCAAGGATTTTCTCCCTTGCCAGAGGTGCAATACTCCTTACGGTAATAGTCATATATGGCAAATACATAACTTAAATATGTTGATGGATCTCTCTTAGAAGAAACATCACCAAAGAAAAGACACCTGTTACAAAATGACAGATAGTGAGTCAAGCATGTTCATCTCATGTTCAATCAAACAATACATGAATTGGCTGACACTTACATTACTTAATATATAAATCCAATTTAGTGTCTATAAGAAACTTCACAACAATGAAAATAAGCCCCCCAGCCCCCACCACTTCATCACCCCCAAAAGAAAAAAGAAAGAGAGAAGAATGTCAGGGACCTTTGACTCTCGCAACATATTCAGAAAAAGGAACAACCACCTACTGAACAAAATCAAATGAAGAAAAAATACATGCAATACAATACACCTCCCCAGTAGAAATCATCTTGACCTAACAAACAAATGAAAAATACAATGTGGCTAAGCTTTGCATGGTCCAGTATATAATATATGTGGCCACTGAATAGATGATATATGCTATCAAAAGGCAGCAATGTTGTCAAAAATTTCAAATTTAAAGCAACAATACAAAAACCAAATAAATACAAATTCAGTTCCCAAATTATTGAGAGATAATATAGTACTCCATACCTCTCCGGTGTTTTCAGGCATGGAACTGTCAAATCTAAAACAATTGAAAAAAAAAATGAATAACTTTAAAATAAATTATAAATATTTTTACACAAAAAATAAGATAGGGATTCACCAACCTACCTGGAGTTACTTTATGAACAATGGTTAGTGACAGAAAAGCAGGAGGAGTAAACTCAGGTTGGCCAACATCAGTATCCAGATAAGCTACTTCGGTGTATTTGTTCAAAAGAACATTTAGGAGATGGCGAGAGAAGGTTGTCTTTCCACAATTCTTGGCACCACATATAAGAGCAATAGGAGGCATTGAGCTGTACATGATGGACTCAGTGGCCTTCATCCATTGCTCTGGGATGTATATGTCCGGTGAAGGGGAAGAAGCCATCTCTTTCTGTAAAATCACAAAACAGCTTTTCTTGATTAAACAGCCTCTTTATTGATGAGTCACGCAAATCTGCAAACAGTTTCATGCAATCAACAGCTGAGCTGATAAGTGAATCTGTTTGATTCAGTTTGTCAAGGTTTGGGCTTATACACACCTGGATTGAATTGGATTCGCAAATTTGTGAGTTTATTTTATTTTTCTTTATTTTGGGGACATTTCAAATTGTACAAGAAACTAACTGAACCACCCCACCCATGCATTAGATTCAGGCTTTCTTAGGCCTTAGCCTAACGTGTTACCTGTTAGAGGCTTTTTCTAAAGGCTTGGCCTGACCTGTATAAAAATTAGGCCTTACCTAAAAACCTATTTAAAGATATAACTGGTTAAATGGTGACATTAAAAAAATAAATACGTTTAACGAATGAAATGGGCCAACGTAACCAGTTATTAATGATCCAGATTACAGAATTTACCATGCAGATTGGATTTGGTTCTTGTTTAGACCATTGAGACCAGGTTTTTTGAGCAGCCCTAGACTATATGAATCCTAACAGCTAACACTTAAAGCAGTATATGATCAAGAAAATCCATATCATGGAGAAAGTTTAACCAAGATGCAGCAAGGGAACAATTTGATCAAATCCATGTTTATTTTATCAGATTTCACGATCAAACATAAGGGTAAGGAAGAATCAAAGAAAAACAAAGAGCATGATTGGGGCAATCAGAAAACCATGGACAACCCAGTTTTATCATGATGTGAATTGTCATAACAGGTCAACTACCTCTACATACTTTCTTATTACCATAAGCAGTTCGCATATCAGGTCTCTATTACTGATAAGGAATCATCCATAAAAGGGGACTTTAATTAAGAAAGTTTAGAGTTTTGTGGTTTAAGCTTATTCAAACATTCCTGGAAGATTCCTTACCACGGAATCTGAATATCCCAAAGAATCAACTAATTATTGTAATATAAAAACAAAACACTTCCCATCTCATATATGTCAAATGGATTATATATAAACATTTGAGTTAATGCACTCATTTATCAAATTCTAGTATTCCACTTACTACTATTTCCATATCTTAAACACCAGAAGGGTTTAAAGAGAAAATTGGTTCCAAACCTCTCATCAAGCTCTTGATGAACATTTTTCAATCTATAAGTCAGAGGGTAAAATGGAAAGGATTGTGAACTTAGAGGGGAAATTTTTAGCCACAAGCTAACTAGAAATTGTGTGGTAGAAATTTTAACTTCAATTATTAAAATTCCCATCTCAAAAACACATGTAACAAGGTCTTGGTTCATCCAAAATTCCAAAAAAATACAAAATGAATGAATTTCAAGCATGCACAACTGAGTAGGATGGATTTCAAGATTCCCACATTAACGTCCTAACCTTACCATCACAAATGCCAACTACCCCTATTATCTTTTCTATCACTAAATTTTTCTCTACCTCCTGTTTCCAATAGGATTCAAACACAAATTGCAGTATACCCAAAAATAAAAATGAAAATTTGTCTAAGCATGCTAAATAAAAGCCAGTTGAAACAGCAGTAAACATTCAGAACATATGAACGGAGTCCTAGAGGTCCCTGTCTTTCACTTCTACAGCTACTTTCAAATGCATCAGTAATATCAAGACCCACTTTTCTACTTAATCGTGCTTTAGTCTATTAACCAAATAAAATAGGAAAATCATTGTACCTAATGCAATGAAAAAACTTCGCCTCAGGAGTACTTGAAGTTTACTGCTAATCTGCGACGATCCTCTCAAATGGAAGCGTCGTGAAGTGTCTCCTCAAAGAATAAAGATGAAAATGCAAAGAGGTCTGAGTAAAAACAAAAGCATCAAAGAGAGTGTCAACCGATGCTTAGCACGCATAAGAGAAAACAATTAGTGAAAAGTACATTATACGTCTCTGCCCCCAAAAGCAAAGTTTCTGTAGTGATTCAATTAGTGAAGAATGGTACCTTCTTCTTCTTCTTGAAGTGTTAGAATCGTGGAGAGCGAAGGTGCAGGGAGCGCTGGTAGAGCACCAGAGGGAGAGCAACTCATGTGAGAAAAAGGGTTTTTAATTTTTTCCGTTAAATTGTCGATTGACGTTTAAAAATTCGCTTAATTACATTTTTGTCCTGTATCTATAGTACTCGTTCTAATAACAGCTTTTTAAAAAATTATTCGTACTTAATCTTATACCTATGTAGATATAAATATTAATCTCCATATTCATATTCTTTGTGTATCTGCCCATACTTAAACCCATTAATTATGCTTGTTTTAAAAAAAATATTTAAAAAAAAATATACTTATAACTTCTCATAGATATTATAATAATATAAAAATTTAATATGTAATTATCAAACAAAATACAAATATAGATAAAAAAATAAATATTTAAAGATTACAAGTGCTAAATATATCTTAATATAATAATTTTTTAAACTAAAATTTTTAAAAATCATAAGCGAAATTAAACATTCAAGTTATTTGTTGACAATAACCTTGTCTTGTGTGAGATTTGCACAATGGATGGCCTCTCAAGTAGGATCATTTGGTGACCTCTTATGACAATATTGACAACTAGCTCTAATGGTTCATGATTGCTACAATAGGTTTGAATGAGACAAACATTGAGAATAAAAGTAGGGTTAGGATAAAGAAATTCAAGTGACACATAACACTTTTTTCTTTAACTTTTGAATATGAAATTATAAGAAAAATAACGAATTTAATTAAAATAATATAATATAATTAATATATATATATATATATATATTAATAATAATATTTTAACCCATGTACTATACAAAAATATTTTGTAAAAAATAATTTTTTTTTAAAAATCATTTTAATGAATTATTTATAATGTATATGAATTTGAATAAAAGATAAATGGTCACAATAAAATTTTATAATAAAAAATTATATTTTTATCTAAAAAAATTAAAAAATAAGAATTAATAATATTTTTTATATTTTATATTTTTTTAAAAAACTTCTTTGAATGTAAATAAATAATAAGAATAATATTATTTAGATTCAATATATTATAGTTGTGTTTGTAATGCACATGTTGTAAAGAAAAATATTATTTTAAATTAAAATATAAAATATAAAAAATAAAATTTAAATATTATCAATAAATAATAAGCTTACAGTAATAGTAAGATATTGTAAAATTTATAAAATATTTATAATATGTTTATTATTTATTATTCACTTTATAATTTAAATATTAATATAATTTTATTAACTAAAATATTTGTGTAAAAAATATTTTATATGTGTGTCATATAGAAATATTTTAAAAAAAAAGTCAATCTCATATCAACTATGTAATAATTAAATTGTATTAGCCTAGTTAAATGATATAATATAGTAAATAATTTTTTTATTAAAAATATGAACTAAAATAATTTTTTTGATTTACTTTATTATTGAATCTATTTTTATATTAATCTTATATAACTTTACATAAGTAATATAATAATACAAAAATTTAATACATAATTGTAGAATAACGTTCAAGCATAAATTAAAATTTACATAAGTAGCGCGCACACACACACATATGCAAGTATGGGGCAGAGTGAGTACTTAAATACCCATACTGCACCTATCTGCCATCTCCGTTAAAATGTGCAGGTATTTACTCATACTGTATTTATGTAGCGGGTAAATATTTTACCCGTTGTGAGTACCCATTGCCATCCCTATATATCCTAATATTAGTGCAATTTTAGTTTCTCTAATTTTATTTCTTTCATTTAGTCTTTTCAGTAATTTAATTTTAATTATTTATATTTAGTTTATTCAATTTTTCAAATATACAATTTTAGTTTCTTTAATTTTAATTGCTTATTTTTAATTTTTAAAAAATTTAAATTAATTTATATTATTTTTAATTTCTTTAACTAATATAATTTTGTCAAATATTAACTTTGGTTCGACCATGTCAATTAAAATTACTAAAATAATAATTGGTAAAAAATAAAAAATATATTCTAATAACATATTTTATAAAAATTAAAATTAAAATTATATAGCTTTTATTGAAACTAAACAGTTAATTAAATATATATTTTTTTGTATTTGTAGAAAATGAGTGTTAACTATAGGAGGCTACTTTATAAGTTTCTTGTAGGTGGAATGAACTAAATGGTTGTGATTCCTTTTGTTGGGTAGATAATCCGATGCAGTCAAAAGAAATGACCCTATCAGCACACATTTCACTACTCTACAAACTACAATAAATGTTGAATCAAGTGTTAGAGAGGGAGAAGTGTCAACAAGCTAAATTTCACTTAGCAAGAAAGAACGCTGTTTTTTATGAGCCATATTGCTTCTGTCTTGGATTATTGGAGTTTTTCTCATCTTTTGGTTCTTAATGTACACCGTATACTGAGGTATAACACTTCTCCCTGACGGTGTTCCTGTGTATAGGCATAAAATGTTTCTTAGTCCAGCATTCATTATGCAAAAAAGTTGAACACTTAATAAACTAGAATTACATGTTATTCTGATCAATTGACTTTGAGGCCATTATTATTACTTTATAGGCATAATTAGATTTTAATCATTATCAATGATATTGTTTTGATTGAGTTTTAGCTTATTGGCCTCGTTGGGTTTAATTGCCAAATCTTTTATTTTCAATCACCTTAACCTTTTTGTTATCTACATATCATATGGGGAGCTACAAAATTCAGATTTGTGCGATCTTGATGTCCTTGAAAAGCTAAAATGAAGATCTACAACTTTGTATTTCATGAAGATCTCCTAATTTGTTAAATTCAAGAAGAAATTGGACCTCAAAGTTAAGCCACTGTTACTTGCGCATAAAACTGTCCATGGTGAGGGTTTTGTGCTTATAAGATGCTGAAATCTAAAATTCTGTATTAGTTGCGCGTGAAAATGCCTATGGTAAACCTTTTTACACCCATAAGGCACTGAAGCTTGGAAGATCTTTAGAAGCTATGCATAAAAATATCTTGTAGTCAAAGTTGTGAACAACACAATGACCAAAATGAAATGACAGGAGCAGAATCTATGTTCATGATTGAAGGTACTCTACATAATTGATTGTACAATATTACTAGTAATTTTTTCAATTGACAAAAAATGCACAAAGCTAGTCTAGTTATGTAATCATACAAAAATATAATGCAAAAACTATAGCACAAAATAGAATACATATTCATGACTGAGCATACAACAAAGTGGAAGAAGATTGACTAAAACGGCATAGGCAATGCATAAATTAGATTATATGTAATTGTTGACATCTCAGTTTGTTACATAACACATCAGTTGCATATATAAAAGTAGTTAGAAGGTACATAGAACTGTTACTGCAATATAACTCCAACATATATTCTCACATCATAGGTTATACACCTCTAAAAAAAATATTATATGGAAAATGTTATAACAATACACCTCTGTAAGGTTTTACCTCAAAAAGTGTAGAAAAATTAGAAAAGAATGTTCGATATTGATGTACAAATTGCAATGTCATTATATAGAACGAGAATAATTACAACAATGAATAGCTAATCCTAAAGTTTAGGAGATGAAATAGCTAATTATACAAGAACATTAATTGGACAGATACGAAACTAATTTACAAGGACAATTATAACTGATATACAGGAGCCAATACAGAAAATTGATTTCACAATAAACGATGAAATTGTGTGTAGGATAGCACCTTCGGAAATACATGAACAAGCTGATCATGACTTCTGGTATAAGCCGTGTGAATGATATAATTTTGAACTTGATGATGACAACTTCAATATGCTTTGTTTTTTCTTGAAACACTCCACTAGCTACAATATGCATGATGTTTGATTGTCACAAAAAAAGAGTCATAGGAATCAGTAAGAAGACTTTTGAGCCATATCATTTCGCATGCAGCGGATGCCATGGCATGATATTTAGCTTCGGCACTAGAACGAGCAAAAACATGTTTTGTACTATGCCAAGAGACAAGATTACCACCAACAAACATACAATAACCAGTGGTAGATTTTCGATCAAGAGCATTCCCAGCCCAATCAGAATCATTATAACCAAGGATCCGAGTGTGTCCATTCTTAGCTAAGAGAATCCCACGTCCAGTGGAACCCTTGAGATATAGTAAAATACACTTCACAATCCCCACATGAAAAAATGTCGGTGCATGCATAAACTGGCTTACAAGACTACTTGCATAAGTTATATCAGGCCGAGTAATAGTGAGATAAATAAGCTTGCCAACCAAACGTTGATAGTCATGAATAGGTTGTAAAGGTGCACTTATACTGTCAAGCTTCAGTTTGCTTATCCAGTGGCGTAGGAGTTGGCTTAGAGTTTATAATCTTAGCATCTTCAAGTAGGTCAAGAATGTACTTTTGTTGGTTAGAAAAGAGACCTTTACCAGAGGTTGCCATTTCAATCCCAAGAAAGTACTTCAAGTAACTGAGATTTTTTTATTGAAAACCGAGATTGCAGTGTACTTTTAATTTGAGAAATAACATGATCATTGTTCCCAGCAATAATAAGATCATCGACATAGATAAGAACTACCACTATTTCATTTGCAATAGTTCGAACAAATAAGGAGGAATCAATCACACTCCTTAAGAAACCAACTTCTTTAAGAACAACACTTAACTTTGCATGCCAAGCACGCAGGGATTGTTTCAAACCGTAGATTGATTTGTGGAGTCGACAAACAAAGGAAGGATCTAGCTTTGTGGATGCCATGGAGGTAATTTCATGTATACCTCTTCTTCAAAAAATCCATGGGTAAAAAAGCATTCTTTATGTCCATTTGTCTCGTTGATCATCCACAATTTACTGCCACTGAGAGCAAAACACGTACAATCTTTAGAGAGAAAAAGTGAGACATAAAGATTGGTTAAGTATGAGTTTTTATCTGTGGATTCTTTGGTAAAAAAAAAGTATCCTTATATAGATAATACAATAGTTGGATCTTCAATTGACTAATTCAACTATGTATAATTATATATCTACAATAATTAGTAAACCAACTGTTATTAACTGACGATGGTAAGCTAGATTGAGATTGGTATAATATATTTGGTATACGATAATATAATTAAACTATCAGAAATATAATATATTGGTGTGTTTCTTTTCAGAATTGTCAAAATGTAAAAATTGTCAAAATTTTTGTGTTTTTTAATAAATTATTTTTCATATATAAGATCAAGAATCAAATTCTAGTCAATATATACAGGAGATTCAACTGACTATCAACTATATCAACTTATTTTTACAAAAATGTTATCAACTTGTAGTATAAGTATGCTGCCTAATTATCAAGCATATGAAAAGACATACATTTAATTGACAATAATTTTATATAAAAGGTGAGATCAAAATAAAATTGAAAATAAATACGATGTACAAATGATATTTTTTTTTTTTTAAGAAAATAGAATTTCTTACCTCTTTTCCAACTAATTAAACATTTTTTAATTTAAAATATTTATTTTTACCTTTTATCCAACTAATAGGCAGCATATGGGATCCATGTGTTCAAATTAGTTGCGCGTGGAAGACTATAAGATGTCAATAACTAAACCTATTTTCTTTTAATATAATAGAGATCTAGCATCTCTTCTTTCTGCAAATTTGAAAATCATTCACACTTCCATTTAATCATCAAAATACAAGAAAAGATTCTGATAACTGTTTTCCATGATCAATTAATTACTATATTGATATTGGTGTGTTTCTTTTCAGAAATATAATTAGTTTTACAATTCAATTGTCCTTTCTATTTTTCCTTGGATTGGAGGAGTTGTGGTCTCTTGTGGTGAGAGAGAAACATTGATTCTCTTGTTTAGGAATATTTGATCTTGATTCAAAGTTAAAATTCAAAATTTTGTATTGTGAATAGGAAAATGGGCATAACCAATTGGTTCCAAGAGAAAGTCACTGATCCCCTTCTCTCCGTTGTTCGCAGGTATTCTTTGAACTTTTTCCACCTTTGATCTTCTATTATTGTTTATTTGTTGTGAATCATAGGACGTGATGTGATTTATATGTATTATTTTTATTTTGGTATTTCAACGCAGTGTATATATGACATATGATATGTTTTTTGATTCTAACACATTTCAAATGTCTAAATTTTATTAACTTGTTGAAGTTTTCTATTCATTTCAATTGTTCTCTAATTAAAATAAATTAGGACTTGAATTATAATTTCTTGAATATATCTATTTTCAAAAGAAATATTAGTAATTGACCTCTTATTGATACTTGGTTATGTACTTTAGATGTGACTTTTGTTCCTATAATTTAATTCTTTTTCTCTATCTTTTAGGAAGGCACATGAATATATATTTTTTGATACAAAACGAAATATCAAATACTTTTATGGAATAGAAATTGTCAAGTGTTTTGTTCAGAATTTTTTACCCATTTACTATTTGTTATGATAATTATGATTGCAAAGAGAAATGTGTAGTTGGATAATTTTGTTACTTTTTTTCAGAGGAGCTGATCCAAAGCAGTTAGCTTTCTCTGCTGCTCTTGGTATTACATTTGGAGTATTTCCTATATGTGGTATGCTATAATTAACACTCATGAAATTATGTTCTCATTTAGTTTAGAATCAAGTTTTACTCCAATGAATCAAATGATTTATTTTAGTTGCTAATTAACGATCTTCATTACAATGAGAGTTGTGAACTTGAAATTTTACTCTTATAATAAGGATCTTATTACTTGTAAGCATGCAAATTGAATAATATATTGTTGGTTATCCAACATTCATGCTCACTGCTTTACAAATTCCAATTGATTTAAAATGTGATACATTAGTTGCCAATAGAGCATTGTTATGCAGTACATAGAGCATCAATTATATATTTGAGTCCTAATTATAGATAAGAAAAATGACTTTAGATACGTGATTAGGTGAGTCATTTTCTAATTCATTAGGCATCTTAGAGAGGTGATGAGATTCAAGAGTTAGTAATAGAACCAATTAGAGAGAAACTTACTTGGACATAATATCGGTTACATAGTATAAAATAATGGTTAATTGTATTTTACTTTAATTAATTAAAATTATCAAGGGACTTGGTAAAGGAGGCAAGTGTGAGCAATTAATTCCTATTGATACATACGTTGATAATTTGACAATCAGCTACCATTATCATTAACTTAGTCAGGCTTAAGAGGTTGGCTTTTTTTTTTTTTCTCTCTCAAAATGAAAGTTACCAATGCACACAGTACTAACTTTCTTTGTAAAAAATTTTAAGGTAATTTCCAACAAAAATGTTAATTATCCATCTTCTAGCATGATTAGTTTATATAATTACTTATTTGTTATAATTTCTAAAACTATGGCATTCTGTTAGAGTTGTACGTAGCTCATAAAAAAAATACAAATTTAACTAATAATCTCAAAACTATATTTGATTTCAAGATTGAGAAGTAGTTATATATATATATATATATAAACCAATTCAATATGTTCTTCTATAATTTGTTAGACAAACTAACGTTTTTCAAATAGGAGTCACTGTACTCCTTTGTGGGATGGCTATTGCATTGCTTGGATCACTTTGCCATGCTCCAACTGTGATGCTTGGAAACTTTATTGCTACTCCAATAGAGTTGAGGTAACATGCATTCATTGCTATATTCACATGCCCAATTTTCTCCTATACTGTGTGAATCATTGTTCTCGTATTTTTATTTTTTATTTTGTTGATCATGTTATAATCAATACATTTTATACAAATATATTGTAAACAATTTTATCATTTTATTTTTTGTTAGAAAATTGTTTTTCATTCTTCAAATTTTCATGGAAAACATATATAACCAAAATTAGTTGCACCCTCAGAGGACAAATAAAGGCTGTAATGTTAAGTCAATCTAATGAACGATAGTCCAATTAAGAAAGCCTAAGAAAATTCATTGTTAAATATTAAAATATAATCTTTTCTAAAGTTTTATTGAAAATTTTGTTTTTGAAAAAAAACTAATGACGTCAATTAATCCATGTAACCAAGCCAATCAGTGTTGTATTATTTTGTATTTGCATTTGAAGACTTAAGATTTGAGGAAGATTAGACTATGTACATTGAGTAAATCATATTTAAAATGGAAAATGTTCACTTTTCGATGAAGGGTTCTTGATAGGAAATATTTTTGTATTAATTTATTTAAAAGAAATAAATGCATTGGAATCAGTATTGTTTTGGTTCATTATTTCTGAGCAATAGGGATATTGCTAATTTATGATTTATTTGGAATTTCAGTTTGGTTGTCCCCTTTTTACGCTTAGGTGAAGCTATTTTTGGTGGATCACATTTCCCTTTAACATCTGATGCTTTAAAGAAAGTTCTTACTGGTCAAGCGTCACGTGAAGTTATATTGAGTGTTGTCCATGCGGTAGGTGCCACCATGTCATGATATATTCTTCTGTATTTGTCTGATGAAGACTAATAGTTATATGTATATCAATACATCCATATCTTTCTTCTTCTTACAAATGTGCTATTTGAATTGGTTGAAGTTTTTCCTCAAATAGAAAAGTTACCTTAAAAATGGAGTGTTGACCTATTTCATAAGTTCAATAATAGTTAAACTAATAGCAGATAATTTTTTGTTTTTATATTCAAAATTTTACTAAATTGACTCAATAATGACTTTGCTAAATTGAATCATATTGGTATTTTGGTTTCTTGGGGGGTTCATATTAGCATTCCTAATCATAGGACATGATATAGGATTGAGATTTTGCCACTAAAAGAATGCATAAAATTTGGCTACTTCTAGTATCATGTGTCTAGCAAAATCCCACTGATTGCCTAAAAAATCCTAATCATTTTTAAAATCATGTCATATTATGTTTCACTAGCTTGCTTGAATTACTTTATTTTCTGAGTCAACACAAATTCTTTTATACTTGATTCATTTTTTCTTTCTCAATGTACAATGATCATTTCGAAATTACTAGTGTATCAAACTTTTGCAGTTAATAGGGTGGTTGGTCGCATCACCTTTTATTTTGGGAGTTCTATACGTAATGCTTTTGCCATGCTTCAAAATTCTGATTCGTAAATTCTCAAGTTCAGAAGGAAGGTTGAAGGTAAGGAATGATTGACAAAATTATTGCCAAGCCATAGTCGCAATATCTGGTCTGTGATAGTGAGCAGTCATTCGTAATATTTTTATTTTTATTTTTTCATGACAAAAGTTGTACACAATTAACAAATAATTGTCATTGTTTATCATCTTGAGGTTGATGTATCATGTTTTTAAAGTATATCATGTTATGTATTTAAATAGTATGTTGTTATTAGTCATGGAACAACTGAAGATAAGTAACACAAATTTCAATTTTTTCTGATATATATGTTGGATCGCAAGTGCCAAATTTCGTCAATATTTTTGCTTTCATGAAAATATAGCATAACATTCTTATTATAATGCTATACTCATGTGCTATACAGTCACTATTTTTGTTGTATAATTTCTCTTTCATCTACCTCAACTCTATTTTTCAAAAACTATTATACTGTAACATGTAGTAATGAGTAAGAAAAACCGAAATAATAATAATAATATAATAATAACATTCAGTAAAAATGAACTTTAGTAGATAGCCTTTATTATTTTATGAATATGTTTAATTATATGTATCACTCATACTTAACCTTTTCAAAATTATTATTTATTATTATTCAATATGACTTTAATTCAATTTTGTATTTATTTTTGTATAACGTGTTTTATATGATTTAACACTTACATTTTTCTTAATAATACGAAATACAATATGTATAGTTATATCCATATATTTTTAACATTACAGTGTATATGTTACAATATAATATGTAAGTAAACGTCTTTAATTTGTAAGATGGTCAAATAACATCCTAGATTAAATCATATATATGCCTAATCACGTACCCAAGTTAATGAGACACACATCAAGCTTCGTGATGTTAGTTTTATATATGATCAAAGGAAAAATGATAGTTATAGAAATATTTGTTCTTCTGAGTGTATATTGGTAAAATAGAATTAAAAGATTCGTAAAATATCATGTTGTAATATACTCTTTTGGTTTCCACAATCTATTGCTCAAGAACAATTGGTTACGGAAACATACCCAACACATATTGTTGTCTCATCTTAATTTCCTCGGAACAAAGTGTTTTCACACTTTTAGGAAGGTTTGATTTCAGAAAATATTTTTTCGCGTTTTTAAATATCTGTACGGAAAACATTGAAGATAACTTTGTTTTTGGTTTTACTATTCCCTGTACAAGTCTTTAAAAATAGAAAACATATAAAAGCAATGCCACAATTTTGTAATTAAAAGTAAAAAAAAAAAAAAAAAAAAAAAACAAAAACAAAAAATATTTCCAGAAACTAAACATGCCCTTAAAAAATTTATCTTAAATTATAGAAGTCAGGAAGTGGGGATATATGAATGAACTTTTCGCCCTAATTCAATTAACTAACTATATCCTTGTCAAAGAAAGCTCAGCATGAAGTTGGAGAATAATAGTACATAATAACTAACTCTAAATCATCTTACAGAATATTATTCAAGAAAAATATTAGATTTCACAGTACATAAGTTTCTTTGGTACTCTCTCTTAATCAAGAATTCAATAAATACATTGGTATAATATGATTTAGAAAAATACTGAAGTTCGTAAGCAATTTAAGTACAATGAATGCTCTTTGTGGATCCAGGCACTTCCGGAGGAAGAGGGAATAATAGCCACACGCACCTTAGACATGGATCTATAAGTATGCTTTATAATGCTTGCAACACGAGGAGTCATGATGACATTCTTAAATTTGAATATCCGATCTTCGAGGTTAATAACCCAGTCCAAGGAACATAAGTGCCAAACCCTCTTAATTGTCCTAAATTATGGTACCTAACTACATCCTCATAGTCTACAAGTTTGACTCAGCAACATTCATCAGAAGGGCACACTAAAATATATAATTGTATAATCACAAAGAAATTCATGAAAAGGTAGTGCAAAATGCATATATTAAAGCACGATAAACGTTGTAACATGAGTCATGATTCTCTCTCTCAAGCCAGATCATAGACATTACAATGCCTAACTTTGTTACAGGATATTTTACCTTATCCTAATTAAGTGATTCTGTGAGGATATTAATTTTATGCTCTATAGGTCTAATATATATATGTCCTATAGATACAAGCCCTTGTTGGATCTTCTCTTTAATGAAATGGTAGTTAATTTCTGCATGCTTTGTCCTTTCATGCAATATTGAGTTTGATGAAATGTGAATAAAAGCGTAACTACCACATCTTTACAAGTAGAGTACACTCTCATAACATTTCGCAAGAATCAAGGATAATATCTAGCATTCAAAATCTTAACCTTTCTATTGCATTTTGTTTCACTTTTTCAAGAGGTCAAATTGGCTCAACGAAGGTACAGTGACCTATATACACTAAATTAATATTGTCAAAATTTAAATCTTATAAAGAGCAAAATCATGTGATCTTTCGCATCTTTCCCTTATCCTACCATCTTAGTTGAAAATAGAATTAAAAATTAGTAAGATTGTGTAGAGTTTTTATCTGTCTCTTTAAGATCATAGGATTGATGATACGATCCAATCTAATCTTTATTAATGATCCAATTTTAAAAAACATATTTTTTTGGGCAATTTTAGACTTGATTTTAGACTTGTGTTTTCTTATTCTTGTGTGAAGATGACTCTTCCAATTACATTATAAAGTTTTCTCTCATTCAAATTGTGGGTTGGACTTCTTTTCTACATTTCAAAACAAGCTTCTTCTTTTCTGCACTAATCTTTTATTTTCTACAACATAGGTGTTCATGCATGCATTTTTTTTTTGTTTCTCTTCTTTTTGTCATAGGTTCTGTACTGTGGGTGCTCTCTTGATTTCTCTTCTTTTTGCCATTATTTCTGTAAGTCCCACATCGGTGGGAGTAAAGGGGATAGGACCCCTCCTTTGCTTATAAAAGGGCAAGGGGTCTTACTAATCAATCCATCCCAAAATCCTCTCTTTCCCTCTCATTTTGTATTACACCGAGCTTGTACTTGGTAGTAATAGTCTCCTATTTTGAGGAGTAAATTTTAGAGTGAGGAGTAGTGTAATTTTTCTTCTGTGATAATTTTATATTATCTTTATTGGCTCTTATTTTTCATCTTTTATTTTAGTTGTGTGTTATTATACTGATACTCTAGTCCTAACAGTGGTATCAGAGCCACTAGGTTATTTATATTATTCTGCTGTAGTGTACATTGGTATAGTGCTAGAGAAAATTCTCACTAGGTTATTTATATTATTTCGCTGTAGTGTACATTGGTATAGTGCTAGAGAAAATTCTTAGTATGCTCTGTGGTTGCAGTATTATCTGATCTGCCACATCAGAAAAGAATTATTCTTGTTACTGGATATACAATTTTGGTAGTGTAAAAGTGCAAATATAGTGTGTACTTATTCACAGTCTACCATTATTATTGTTCCAGTAGGTAGTACTATTCACAGTGAAAATTACATAAGTCGGTATAATTAAGAGAGAAATTATGGCAGCAAAATATGAGATAGAGAAATTTCATGGGAGTAATTTCTCCTTGTGGAAATTGAAGATAAGAGCAATCTTGAGGAAAGACAATTGTCTTGATGCAATTGAAGACAGACCTGCAGATATTTCAGAAGAAAAATGGAGAGAAATGAATAACAATGCTGTTGCCAATTTGCACTTAGCATTGGCTGATTCAGTGTTATCCAGTGTTACAGAGAAGAAGACTGCAAAGGAGATTTGGGACACACTGATCAAGTTGTACGAGGTCAAGTCACTTCACACCAGAATATTCTTGAAGAGGAAACTTTACACTCTTCGAATGAGTGAGTCCACATCAGTAACGGACCATATCAACAATTTGAATACACTATTTGCTCAGCTTACAGCCGCAGATTTCAACATAGTAGAAAATGAACGTGCGGAGCTTCTACTCCAGAGTTTACCAGATTCATATGATCAACTCATCATCAATATAACAAACAACAACATTATCGGTCATCTATCCTTTGATGTTGTTGTTGGAGCAGTTCTTGAAGAAGAATCCAAGAGAAAGAATAAGGAAGATAGACTGGAAAATTCTAAACAGGCAGAAGCATTGACGATGATGAGAGGAAGATCAATGGAACGTGGTTCCAGTGGGAGCCAGAATCATGGTAGATCAAAATCTCAGAGAAGGAAGAACCTCAAATGCTACAACTGTGGCAAGAGAGGGCACGTGAAGAAAGATTGTTGGAACAAGAAGAGTGGAGGAGGGAAGAATATTGAAGCATCAACCTCTCAAGGTTGTGTTGCAAGTACTTCAGATGATGGTGAAATCTTATATAGTGAAGCAGTAAAATCTAGAGGTGGAAGACAACTTCATGAATGTTGGATATTGGATTCAGGTGCAACCTGGCACATGACTCCATGTCGAGACTGGTTTTACAATTATGAACCTATCTCAGGAGGATCCGTGTTCATGGGAAATGATCATGCCCTAGAAATTGCTAGAATTGGTACTGTCAAATTAAAAATGCATAATGGTACTATTCGTACAATTCAAGGAGTACGACATGTGAAAGGCTTAAAAAAGAATCTATTGTCCATTGGGCAATTGGATGACCTCAATTGTAAGATCCATATTGAAGGTGGAATCTTGAAAGTGGTTAAAGGCAACTTGGTGGTGATGAAAGCAGAAAAGATCACAACCAATTTATACATGCTTTTGGGAGATACGTTGAAAGAAGCAGATGCATCAGTTGCAATTAGTCAAGAAGAAGAAACAATGATGTGGCATCGTAGACTTGGTCATATGTCAGAACGAGGCCTGAAAATTTTAGCAGAACGTAATCCCTTGCCCGGGCTCAAAATGGTAACCTTACCATTTTGTGAGCACTGTGTGACAAGTAAGTAGCATAGATTGAAGTTTGGCAACGTGACTACAAGAAGCAGACACATACTGGACTTGATTCATTCTGATGTATGGGAATCACCGGAAGTATCTATTGGAGGAGCAAAATATTTTGTATCATTTATTGATGATCACTCAAGGAGATTATGGGTGTATCCAATCAAAAAGAAGTCAGATGTGTTTCCAGTGTTCAAGGAATTCAAAGCACTAGTAGAACTTGAAACTGGGAAAAGAATTAAGTGCTTAAGGACAGACAATGGAGGAGAATATGTAGATGGTGATTTTCTGGTATTTTGCAAGCAAGAGGGTATTTCAAGGCAATTCACAGTGCCTTATACACCTCAGCAGAATGGTGTAGCAGAGCGGATGAACAGAACTCTTCTAGAAAGAACAAGAGCTATGCTAAGAACAGCAGGAGTGGCTAAATCATTCTGGGCAGAAGCAGTGAAAACTGCCTGTTATGTAATAAACCAATCACCATCAACAACAATTGGTTTGAAGACACCAATGGAGATATGGAATGGAAAGCCACCTAATTATTCTTCATTACATGTGTTTGGATGTCATGTGTACGTGATGTACAATTCCCAAGAAAGAACAAAACTGGATCCAAAATCCAGGAAATGTATATTCTTGGGTTATGCTGACAATGTTAAGGGGTATCGCTTGTGGGATCCCACTGCCTGCAAGGTTGTTGTTAGCAGAGATGTAGTCTTTGCAGAAAATGAACTGCAAAAGGAGCAGAAAGATGACAGTACTATCAAAGACACTACTTCAGTAGTGATAGAAAGGAAAGCTAAAGAAGATGACAACTCTGAAGCAGAACAAGAGCACGGAGAACAAGAATCAAATGATGCCAATGATGGAGAAACTCAACAAACAAGACGTGAGATAAGGAGACCATCTTGGCACTCAGACTATGTGATGACAAGCCACGATGCATATTGTCTTCTAACAGATGAAGGAGAACCATCAACCTTTCATGAGGCTTTGAGGAGTTCAGATGCTTCATTATGGATGACAGCAATGCAGGAAGAAAATGAGGCCTTACATAAAAACAAGACATGGAAACTTGTTGAACTTCCAAAAGATCGAAAAGCCATTGGTTGTAAATGGGTCTATAAAATCAAACGAGATGGTAATGATCAAGTGGAGCGGTATCGTGCAAGATTAGTGGTTAAAGGATATACTCAGAAAGAAGGCATTGATTTCAACGATATATTCTCTCCAGTTGTTCGATTAACCACAATCAGAATTGTTCTGGCAATGTGTGCTGCATTTGATTTACATCTTGAGCAACTTGATGTAAAGACTGCTTTTCTACATGGAGAACTTGAAGAGGAAATATATATGCTCCAACCAGAAGGTTTTGAAGAACAAGAAAAGGAAGACTTGGTTTGCAGGTTGACCAAATCTCTGTACGGTTTAAGGCGCCAAGGTGTTGGTACAAGATATTTGATTCCTTCATTATTAGCCTCAGATACAACAGACTGAGTTCAGACCATTGTACGTATTACAAGAGGTTTGGTGATAATGATTTCATCATTTTGTTGTTGTATGTGGATGACATGCTGGTGGTAGGCCCCAGCAAAGATCGAATTCAAGAATTGAAGGCACAATTAGCTAGGGAGTTTGATATGAAGGACTTAGGACCAGCAAACAAGATTTTAGGGATGCAAATACACCGAGACAGAAAAGATAGGAAGATTTGGCTCTCTCAAAAGAATTATCTTCGTAAAGTCTTGCGGCGCTTCAATATGCAAGACCGTAAGCCAATCTCTACCCCACTTCCTGTCAGTTATAAATTATCCTTAAGTATGTGTCCTAGCAATGAAGCGGAGAGGATGGAAATGTCTCGAGTGCCGTATGCATCAGCGGTGGGAAGCCTTATGTATGCCATGATTTGTACTAGACCAGACATTGCACAAGCAGTGGGAGCAGTCAGTAGGTACATGGCAGATCCTGGTAGAGAGCATTGGAATGTTGTAAAGAGGATCCTTAGATACATAAAAGAAACCTCTAATGTTGCATTATATTTTGAAGGATCAGAATTTATTGTGAAAGGCTATGTTGATTCAGATTTTGCAGGAGATCTGGATAAAAGGAAATTTACTACTGGTTATGTGTTTACACTTGCTGGAGGGGCAGTAAGCTGGTTATCTAAGTTGCAGACTGTTGTGGCTTTGTCTACTACAGAAGCTGAATACATGGCAGCTACTGAGGCATGCAAGGAAGCAATCTAGATTCAAAGGCTATTGGAGGAACTTGGGCACAAACAGCAGACTACAACTGTGTATTGTGACAGTCAAAGTGCTTTGCATATTGCAAAGAATCCAGTTTTTCATTCTAGAACAAAGCACATAGGTATACAATATCACTTTGTTCGTGAAGTAGTAGAGGAAGGTAGAGTGGATATGCAAAAGATTCACACCAAAGACAACATAGCAGACATAATGACAAAGCCAGTGAACAATGACAAGTTTACATGATGTCGATCCTTGTATGGCCTATTAGGAATATAAGCAACATATAATTGTAATATATTAGGAATGTGTGAAGATATAATTAACTTAATCATAATCTTCAAGTGGGAGAATTGTAAGTCCCACATCGGTGGGAGTAAAGGAGATAAGACCCCTCCTTTGCTTATAAAAGGGCAAGGGGTCTTACTAATCAATCCATCCCAAAATCCTCTCTTTCCCTCTCATTTTGTATTACACCGAGCTTGTACTTGGTAGTAATAGTCTCCTATTTTGAGGAGTAAATTTTAGAGTGAGAAGTAATGTAATTTTTCTTCTGTGATAATTTTATATTGTCTTTATTGGCTCTTATTTTTCATCTCTTATTTTAGTTGTGTGTTATTATACTGATACTCTGGTCCTAACAATTTCGTTGTTTTGTGAGTGTTCTCTAAGTGATTTATAGATTTTATGTTTTTCTGGAAAATTGTGGGTGTTCTCTTTGTGCTCTTCTACTATTTTAATTTGTGAGTCTTTCCGTTGTCTTTTATTTTGTTTTCTCTTATCTCTGCATGACTTTAAATATAAAGTTAGTGGTAGTGAGAAAGGGAAGAAGAATCAGTCAAGTGAAGTTGCAGGAAGTGAAATTGTTGGTGAAATTTTGAGATAAAAAAATAAACACCAATAATGTTGACTAAGAAATAATGTAACCTGAAATCATGATGTTTCTATTTTTAGAGATATTAAGAGAATTATATATAAATAATGTGAGAATAAATATATTATAGGAGTTTATCACTTCAAGCATCATTTGGCATGCAAAGCAAAATGTTAGAACTTGCATAACTGTCCTTAATAATGTTCAAAAATAAATGTGAGACATTGTTGTTAAATTACAAGAAAATTTAAAATTTTTTAAATTAAAATTAATTAAAATTATATATATTGAATGTAATTATAAATTATTAATTGTTGTAAGTTGTTATTATTTAAATGTTGTTTAATAGATAATTTAAAAAATATTTAAATAATTTTAAATTAGTAATTAGCTTTGATAAAAACTCTAATTAGGCAAAAAAAAAACTTCAAAGTTCTTCATTGTAATCCAAAAAACTTTGTAATTGAACTCATGTTGCATCCTAGTTAAGTTATTAATGAAAGCAATTAAATCTAAAAAAAGAAATGCACATTTAAGTCTTGAAGATACTGAGCACACTTTTCTTCTACTCTCGTCTTCGTTTTTTTTCTTTTTTTGTTATCCTTTAAAGATCAATTGTCACCAGCACCAATTTAGGAAAGATAGGTTAGCTTGTTAGGAATTAAACTCGAAAGTGAATCAACCAATCATACTCACTTTGACAAGAAGATGTTAACATGATAAAATTTTATTGTTATTATTTAAAAGAATTTAAAAATATTGAAAAAAATAACATAACTCCTAAATTAATTGGGGTCACCAGATATTAACTCCTGAACCGGATAAAATATAATCTATAGTTTCTCTGAATCGATTTTATTTTTTTTAAGTCAACTCTCCTAAAATTGATGATCAATCAGAATAGTTCACAAGTCATATTCTATCGAAATCACTCAAATTATAATCCAAATTATATATTGATTACACGTCTTTTTTATATGTTCCTCTAATTTAAAAAATACTATTTCAACAAGAAATGGCGACAAGGACTAATGATAATTTCAAATTGAGTCTCCACATCAGTGATAATTGTGTCAAAAACTAAAGTCTTCATTTTAAAAAATATATATCTAAAAAATCGTGTGGCCATCCATTATTCATTTATAATTATTTCTTGCCCGTTTTCATCGTTTTTGAAAACGCACGACTGTTAATAGAGTTAAAAAAATATTTAAACTGAAAATTTTATTATGCAGAAAAATAATATAACTTATTTCTAATTATAAGAAGAGAATAATAATACTTTCTTTTAATAATAGCAAACAACGAAGTTAAGAGAACTTACAGGAGACAACTTTACATTTTTATCTTTGCATTTTTTTTTCTATAAAAATAATACTTAGAAAATGGGATAATTTTAATTTTGATATTTAATTTTTTTATTTTGATTTTAATTGATTAAAACAAAGTTATTATTTCTCTAAAAAATGATACACTTAATAATTTTAATTAATTTTGTATACATTTGTACACTTTAAGACTAATCATTAGTAATTAATAATTATTCATTTTAATCTCTTAGATTTATCATTCATCAAAACTACAAGGTTATCTTATCTTAATCTTAGTAACAGATATTATTAATTAATTGACTTCTTATATAAAGGTTAAAGAATGCAAACTTTTAAAATAATGTGATTTATTAAAATTTTTGTAATAAAACAAAGATTACAAACTTTAATCTTGATCATTCATATACAATACAATTGTATAGAAAAAAAAATATCTATTTCATCTTTTATATTAAAAAAAAAAAAGCCATTGTCCTATTTACACACGTGTATCGTGTATTTTTTTTTTAATTTTGCTATCAATAAATCGGATATATTTAATAAATGTATGTATATTACTGTACCTTTTAACGGTAGAATTTGAATATTTTTAAATGGCTTAAATATGTTTTAAGTATTATATTTCAACAAAAAAAATTTAGTCTTTTTAATAAATTATTTTTGTTTTAATCTTTATTTTTTATGAATTATTGTTTTTAGTATTTTTAATTGATATAGTCTAATAAAAAATTTATATTTGGCAGTATTTTAATTGAACAAATGAGTAATATAAACTAAGAAAAATTACGAATAAAAAACATATTTAAACTTTTTTAATTTTTGTTAAACTTACCAGAAGTGTGTTTTATTAAGAAGGATCTATTTATGTTTTTATTGTACATTTTAATTAAAATTGTTAATGACTTTTCTTTATCTTAAAACAGAGACATCCTTCTCTCTGATCGTAACCTCTCCAGCAAAATAAAAATTGCACCATTCAGAAATCAAAATGTCACGTTTTAAATTGGACGAAAATATTTTATGATCATTAATAAATTGATGTCTTCTTCTTTATTTTTAAAGTTTTTTTAATTAATATATATGATATTGAATTTCTTTTTTCATATTCAAATGATAAAACTGTTAATTTGATGCCAATTATTTGAGGAGACCATTCAGTAATGAGTGAATCATATCATGTCAGGTAATTATCATACTTTTGAACAAATTGTACGACCGCACTTTGCACAGTCTACCACCCAATAATGCATTTTGAATAGTTACAAGTTGTTTATTTTTAATTTTTTAATATAAATTAATCAAATAAAGATAAAAATAAATAGAAAATAATAATTATTACTATTATTATTATTACTTGATTGTCGGACAATTCTTTTAAAAAGGATGTGATCATTAGAAATAAATAAACTTTGTTTCAATTTTTAAAAATTGTAAGTGTGAATTACTTTCTTTACTTGATTTTATAATTTTTAAAAAATTTACATCACAAATATCATTTATTTTAATTTGTGTAAAATAATAAAAAGGTAAAAAAAAATTAAAATAAATAATCTTTTGAAATTCAAAAAATAAAATAAAAATTTAAGATAAATAAATATATTTTCTGATGAATCCTATATATTGCTACATAGTACATACTTAAAATTGCTACATTACATTACATTACATGTATTACTTTTTCTCTTCCCTGCTTGTCTCTCTCCTCCTACTTTAACTTAAACTTAGTATGACTATGGCTATGCCTATAAATTGCTGAAGTGTGTGTGAGTGAGTGTGCCAATTGCAACTAAGTGTGGTTAGAGGAAAAAATGGCTTCTAAACAATGGCCACATGAGCAACTTGAACCATCTTTCTTTTCTTTTACCTTTCACCGATTTCTATTATGCTACCTTCTAATTACTATCATTGTTGTGTTGAAGCTAGCAAGGGCCAAAATCAAAGCCAATCTCAATCTACCTCCATCCCCTCCAAAGCTACCAATCATTGGCAATCTTCATCAACTAGGCACATTCCCATACCACTCCTTCAGAGCCCTCTCACACAAGTATGGTGCTCTTATGATGTTGAAGTTGGGGAAGACTCAAGCCATTGTGGTTTCATCTGCAGATGTGGCCAAGGAAATCGTGACAACTAATGACATAACATTCTCAGACAGACACAAAATCACAGCAGTGAAAACCATGTTGTATGGAGGTAATGACATTGGTTTTGGATCCTATGGAGAAAGGTGGAAACAAAAAAGAAAAATATGTGTCCTTGAGCTTTTGAACCACAAAAGGGTGCAATCATTTAGTCACATCAAAGAAAAAGAGGTAGCACAAATGGTTAACAAGATACATGAAGCAACCTTGAATGGTGCACCCTCTGTGAATCTAAGTGAGTTGCTCATCGAAACAGCAAACAATATCATATGTAAATGTGCTCTTGGACAGAATCACAATTTAGAAGACTGCTATATGAAGGTTAAAGAGATTTCAAGAAAGATGATGATTCTTCTTACAGTTAACACTTTGGGAGATCACTTTCCTTTCTTGGGTTGGGTTGATGTTCTCACAGGCAAAATTAAACAATTCAAGGCCACTTTTGGAGCATTGGATGCTTTATTTGATCAGGTGATTGCTGAGCACAAGAGGATGAAGAGGGAAACTGACAACCCCTCCACTGAGAAAGACTTTGTGGATATCCTCATCCAAGTTCAGGAGGGTGGCATGCCTGGCTTTGAGCTCACCAATGAAGACATTAAATCAATTCTATTGGTTTGCCTTCTTTCATTTTTAATCTCTCAAACACCTTAACTGGTTGATTTATTCTAATTTATTGTTTAATCTTAATAGAGTAAAGTAGGAAAATAAAAATGAAAGATTTTAATAGGAAAAAAAATATTTATTTGGTTCAAATAAATAAATAATCTACTACTATATATATTTTTAGGATTACCAAATAAATTATTAATTAAGGATAATTTTGTCTAATTAATCTAAAAAAAATTATCTTCTCCAAATCTACTTTTAGAGAAGAGTTGATATTGAGTAAGGAGAAATTTTAATTCTTTTTTCTCTTCCTAAAATTTTGAACTCAACATGGAAAATTATAAAACTATCTCTATTTTTTCTTCGTTTTACTCCAACTAAACGCTAAGTCACAATAATTTTAAAGTTAATATATAATTTAGTCTCTGCTGCAGCTGATGATAAAACTTTATTTTGATCCCAAAATTTTTTTTGTTGATATATATAAATTAAAATTATTTACACCATTTAGTAGTATAAGATTATTAGGGAGTTGAAATTTTCAAGAATTAATTCGTATAGAGATGTAAATTTTTAGAGACCAACAAAATGTAATCGTTATTTATGATGGGAGATTGCTAACTAACTCCCCATTGGAATTCAGGACAACCTAATACTAACTAGCCCTAAGTTGTTCTTAAAAAAGAAACGTGAAATTTTATATCTCAAACCAAAGGTGGAGTTCAATTTTATTTATTTATTTATTCTTTCAGGATATGTTTACAGCAGGAAGTGATCCAACCGCAACAACATTAGAATGGGCTATGGCAGAGCTCATGAGAAACTCATTGAAATTAGAGAAAGCCCAAGAAGAGGTGAGAAAATTTGTAGGGCATAAATCAAAAGTAGAAGAAAATGATATAAACCAAATGGACTACGTCAAATGTGTGGTCAAAGAAACTTTAAGGTTGCATCCACCAGCTCCATTCTTGATTCCTAGAGAGACATCATCTAATGTGAAGCTTAGAGGGTATGATATTCCAGCAAAAACAATGGTATATGTGAATGCATGGGCAATTCAAAGGGACCCTCAACTTTGGGAAAGGCCAGAAGAGTTCATTCCAGAGAGATATGATAGCAATCATGTTCCTTTCAAAGGCCAAGATCTCCATTTTATTCCATTTGGTTTTGGGAGAAGGGCATGCCCTGGAATGACATTTGGGCTTGCTTCTCTTGAGTATATTCTAGTCAACCTTCTCTGTTGGTTCAATTGGAAGCTGCCAGAAACTTATACATGTGGACAAGACATAGACATGAGTGAGACATATGGGCTCATTACTTCCAAAAAAGTCCCTCTTCATCTCAAACCAATTCCTTTGTCATCTCAAACCAATTTCTAGTTTATAACTTTAAAATGATTTACGTTATGAGTTTCCTTCTACTTTTGTGTGATGGGTGCAAGATGTGTTTGAAAATTACTGTTGTTTGTTAACCTAGAAAGATTATATATTTATTTATTTAAAATGTTATTTTGTGTAAAAGTGTATTGAATCAAGCTTGTTCAGATGTCTATCCATATTGAAGAGCATGCATTCTGTCGTATTAAAATGAATTTTATTTTATTTGTTCATAAGCATTGAATTCGGTCGAGTGAGTCACCATTAAATGGGCCCACGTAAATTCTATAAAAAGAAAAAGAAAAAAATGTGTCATGGAAAGTTACATAAAAAAAATCAGAATTGTGAGTGTGTCATGTGTTGATCTCTAGTGGTTCAAGGAAATCTTGCAGTATACCCGTTAAATTTATTAGTGGAAAATTTTATTGGATTAGGTCTAGTGGGTTTTTACCTATTTTTCCGTTAGAGTCTTCTTGTTTACTTTCTCTTATCAATTGCATAAAAACTATATTGAGCCAATTACAATCAAACAGTGGTAAAAAAAAATCTAGTTTATTTCCACGTGTTACTATTATATTTGATATTTTTTCTAACAAATTCACTAATCTGTATGGAGTTTTTTCAAGTAAAAGACATGTTATTTAGGGTTGTATTGGTAAGGCCCTACAATGTTAATTGAAAACAAACGATCTTATCTGAAAACAAGATAAAAAATTAGCAAAATCACGTATGATTCTGATCTTTCACCTTTCGTACGATCTACACTATGATCGGATCTTTGTTACACAAGTTTTTGGATCAAATTTTTGTAACCCAATTTTTAAAAACATGTTTTCAAGGAAGTTTTAGATCTGATTTTGGATTTATGTTCTCTTATTCTCATTCTCCTAGCCTGTGACTATGACTCTTCTAGCTAGCTCATAAAGTTTTTTCTCATCTTTTCTTTATTTTGAACTAGCCCCACTGCTTGTGAATTTGGGTTTGGTTTTTGTAACTTTGTGCTATTTTTATGTTCATTTTCTACAACTTCTGCTCTACATTTGAAAAATGAGCTTCCTCCTCTCATAACATTTCACAAGAATCAAGGATAATATCTAGCATTTAAAATCTTAACCTTTCTATTGCATTTTTTTTCACTTCTCCAAGAGGTCAAATTGGCTGAAGGAAGATACAACAACCTAAGATTGATTCCCAATCCATTATATATACACACTAAATTAATATTGTCAAAAGCTCAATCTTAATAGCAAAATCATGTGATCTTAAGATCTTTCCCTCACCTAAGATCTTAATTGAAAATAGGATAAAAAATCAGCAAAATCTCATAGGATTCTGATCTTTCTCCTCAAGATCGTAAGATCGACAATCTGATCTTTGATACATAGGTTTTTGGATCAAATTTTTGATTCGATTTTTAAAAACATGTTTTTAAGGAAGTTTTAGACTTATGTTCTTTTATTCTCGTGTGACGAAGACTCTTCCATCTTTTCTTTTTTTTTTTGAAATAACCTTTGTAACTGTTGTTTGTGTGTTGGGGTTTAGTTTTTGCAACTTCTGTTTGTACTATTTCTATGTTCATTTTCTGCAACTTCTGCTCTACATTTCAAAACGAGCTTCCTCTTCTCTGCATTAATCTTTTATTTTCTGCAACCTAGGTGTTCTTGCATGCGTTTTTTGTTTCTCGTCTTTTTGCCATAGGTTTTGTATAGTGGGTGTTCTCTTGATTTCTCTTCTTTTTGCCATTGCTTCGTTGTTTCGTGGGTGTTCTCTTGGTGATTTATGGGTGTTATGTTTTTCTAGTGCTTTGGTGCTATTTTAGTTTGTAGGTCTTCCTGTTGTCTTCTGTTTTGTTTTTTCTCACCTGTGCATGACTTCCAATACTATGAATGAATTTGGTGGTAGTGAAAAAGGGAAGAACATTCAATAAAGTGAAGTTGTAAGAAGTGGAGTTGTTGGTAAAATTTTGAGATAAAAAATTAAACACCAATTGCTGACCAAGAAATGATGACATGAAATCACAGTGTTTCTGTTTTTGAATATATTAGGAGAATTAAATATAAATAATGTGAGAATGAATATATTAGAGGAGTTTATCACTTCAAGCATCATTTGGCAGGTAAAGTAAAATGTTGGAGCTTGCATGACTGTTCGAAAGCAAATGTGGGTGAGAGAAGATGCATGTTTGATTGTGAGAGGTGTTTCCCTACATTGTTGTTAGATTGTAAGAAAACTCATAATAACAACAACAACAATAATAATAATAATAAACAGATAGTAAGAGCTTGGAGAGGTAATAGAAGGTGATGTTGGTGAATGTGAAAATGTAGAGAAAAGAAAAACACAAGGTGATGTTGAGACTCTAATAACTTTTTTCAAGAAAAAGAAAGTGATACCCAAGTTATAATCAATACCCTTTTTAAGTAAATTTGAGAGAGGATGCATGTTTAGACATTGCTTCATTTATCAAAGATAATGCAATATCTTTCGATTATGTGAAGAGATAGAATTGAAAAAGATGTGTGACTTGATTACTCGACGTGGTATTAGATTTAAGTTGTCATCCTACCACGAGATTCAAGTAAAATATTTGAAGAAAAAAGTTGATGAGACAAATATGATTTTAGAAGATCACAAAGCTTGCTAGAAACAAAAAATCAAATCCACATTAACGACTGATGAATGGATCGACAAAATAAAGAGGACCATACTTAATTTTTTTGGTAATAGTTATGCAAGAACAATGTTTTAAAGTTTATTGATGCATATAATATATAAAGTTGTTGAAGAAGTTGAAGAAGCAAATGTGATATAAATTGTGACGGACAATGCTACAAATTATAAGGCAGTAGGAGATATGTTAATGAAGAAGAGAAAAAAAACTTTATTAGGACATCTTGTGTTGCATATTGCATTGATCTTGTAGGATCTTCCCATCTAATTCAGCTTTCAAAGCATCCGCAGTTCCCATTGAATCAAAGTCTTGAATTGAACAGAGTCCTTAGGACTAGTCTTATATTTTTGTTACATTGGTTTACTCAAAGTATGTATTTAATTAGACTTATAAAAATTCTACATGCTATATGTAGAGTTTTGTCAAGATGGTTATTTTTTATATATATTTATTTTAATCTTACTTTTGTGTCAAGTATAATACTTTAGAGGCAAATTGCTATGGTGCCTATAAATTTTATAAGATATTTTATATTTTCTTAAATTAACTATTGTGATTTATTTATTATCTTAAAAATTAAAGAACATTTATGTTTTTCTCAAATAAACCACTAGCTTCTACTATCTTTTGTACATGTTTAATGTAAAATTAACTGGCATAAGTATTTTACATGTAAAATGATATAAAATTAACGGTTATAGAAATTATCTATTTGAGATTACTTTTTTTAAGTTTGACATAAAAATGTTTGTTATCGTTGAACTTGATTATTTATCTTAAAATATCATTGGAAGATCAGGAATTTTTCATAAAATTATTGAAATGCTAGATAGAATTGTTATTGTTGCGATCAAGGTTGTAACAGGAAACAAAATAAATGATTAGTAAAAAATGAAATAGGATAAAATAGAGATTGAAAGAGTTGCCACCAAGATTTTTAAAGAATTCTTAAAATTTAAAAAAATGATATGCTAAATTATATTTAAGTTTGAGAGTTTAATCATGCGTAAGAAAGATATTAGCATTCTATGATGTTCATGCAAATTGTTACCCTAAATTGTGCAAAAATTTAAATTTTATTTCATTATTAAATTATGATATTTTATTTACTAAACAAAATGAAAAAAATAAATTTAAAAATAATTAGGCTTGATGGATTTTGTTCCACATTCCTACATATCTTTTGATGCAATAAACATATAAGAGTTATGTAATTATAAAATAAAATCTTTTTTGAATAGGTGTACAATGAAAAAATTGAAAATTGTAAAATTTTAAGACATTTGTGAAAGATATATGAAAAATTAATTAAACCTTTTAAGGGTGTCCAAAATGTATTTTATATAATTTTTTTTTGGAGATGAGGCAGACAATTTCTTTTTAACATTATATGATTCATGAACAATAAAGTAATCTATAAATCTCTCTCATTAATAGTAAATTGAAAGAATTTTTTTTTTAAATTTTGAAAAGGTGATAAGGAAGATTGAAACAAATTCTTTCGGAGGAGATACAAGATAAAAAAGTGATATATTTGTTTTTATAGAATAGAAACTTCACTCAACCACTATATAATTTTTTAATGATAAAGTAATTTATACATTAGTATGTTTAATTATTAAAATAGAAAAAATATTGAAAATAGTTTTTTTAAGGTTGATAAGAAAAATTGATAATAAAATCTTTTTTAAAAAGCATAATAAAATTAAAATAGAACTTTTGAACGCATTGAGAAATTATGGCTGGAGACATTTATTTTTATAAAATAGAAAATTATGATTAACAATTATATTATTTGTAAATAATAGAATAATTTATATATCATTGTCATTAACTATTATAAGAATTAGAAAAAAATATTATGCTCAAAAATAAAATTCTAGTATAATTCACAATCACATGCATATATAAGATACTAAATAGTGTATCTAAATTGTCATTTTTATAAATTGATACATGAAGAGTGCAAATAATTTATAGATAATATCTCTTTAAATTTTATTTAAAAAATGTTTTTTATCTGTTAAAAGTGCATGAGAACAATTTATACATACTATTTTATAATTTATGAATGATAAAGCAATATACACATCATTTTTGCAAATTAGTGCGTGAAGTAAAATAAATTTAATATAAACAATTGTTTTTTGAAAAAATTAATATTTTTAAAAGAAAAGAAAATATTTCTCATTTTGAAACAACAAGAAAATTTACATATTTGAGTTTGTGATATATAAATAATAGAGTAATTTATTCATCTCAATCAAGAGTGGTGCGTGCATGTTCTCTAATTTGTTTTGTAAGTTTGTAAAGTTGTTTATATTTAACGTGGTTAAAAGGAATGACTTGAAGAAAGAAACAAATTCAACACATTCAACTTATATTG